TCCCAAATAAATGTATCATATTATGTACAATTATTTGGTTAATGGAGACAAAAAGATTGCCGCTCGGTGTGTCAATTTTCAACTATTTAACTAAAAATGTTATTTTAATTAACTCTACAAAAAGATAAATGGGTCTTATTGAACATATTTGTAATATATGTCTAATTAGTACAATATATTATACTTGATTCTAAATAAAAATATTGATTTTGCAAAAATTGATTGAGATTCCGAATGATTTCTTGCTTCTGGGCAATGGTTATTCATGTCTGTTGTCTAAAATTAAGTTATATTAATTGTCATGCTACTGAAATGTGTAGAATTATTATTTTTATCATATTTTAACTCTAAACTATTTTATATTTCAGGTTGTTCCTTCAGAAAGAAAGCTTACTAAGATCCTGGCTCCTGTATTTTAATGTACAATAACAATATGAATATGCGTTGAATAAAAAAAACCATAAAAAAACATCATTTTTTATTTCTTTGTTTACACCTGAGGTTTTTTTCAACATAAGTAAGACAGAGACAAGTCAGTGTGGGGATGATGTCTTCTTAATGTTAAAACAAATTATTACTTTAATTTTTTAATTTTTTTCTTATCAGTTATTAAAACTCATTTTAAGGTTATAATTTCAAGATAAACTTACAACAAATAAAAATGTTTGTTATTAGCTACATAATAATATATAATTTTGAATACATTGATAACTTAAATGTTAGATGTTGTAGTTGTATTAGTGTACCAGGATTAAATTACATATACTATAGCAAGACAGATAAAAGGGTGTGAAGATCTACAATTAATGTTGATAAATTACGGTTTTTGATTTTGTGGGTACTAATAATTATTAGTATTTATTTTTGATAATTTGAGTTAAAAGGACTATCTATGCATTTGTTTTTTCCGTCTTACACACGGACGACAGAACATTTTTGTTCACTAATTTCAATAGTGGGCTGTTAGTTTTGATATAAGAGTGAATTTACCTATTATCAAAGTCTTAGGAAAGAACGTAATCTATGCTCAAGGGTCAGTGGATTTTTGGATATTTTCATTTTTAAGCGAGATATGAGCATTTTTGATTTGTGTTATTTCACATACTTGTATCTTGCTTGAAATAAAAATATCAAAAATCCGCAGACGCTTAAGCATAGGTAATAATGTCCTTACTTAAAAGTTTGATAATACTTAAATTCACTCTAATATCAAAACTAGTGAACCAAAATTTGCCATGTTGTAAGTTGGTAAGACGGAGACAACAAATGCTTGGGTAGCATCTTCCTAATTATATTTTATAACTGGTTATTCTTAAGTCAATATATCAATGTATCTTAAGTCATTTAGAACGGGGTAAATAGTAAAAGATGAATCTAAATAATATTTTAATATTGCATAATATATATATTATATCCCTTATTGGTAAAAAACAGGGTGCAAGATTTTTTTTAATTTAAAAAGAAGACCATCATGCCATACCCTATCGAACGCTTGTGAAACGTCTAGAAAGGCGCAGGTGCAATACTGTTTTTTCGAGTGAGAAGGAGATGGCGTCGACAATTCTATGCACCTGATGAATAGTAGAATGGGCAGAGCGGAAGCCAAATTGGGCATCAGGAAAAACCTAGTTTTTTTTTGTACCTTATCATAAAATCATACCTTTCCAACCGTCACTTTCAAATCAGATTCGGTAATGCACACTCAACTATATCCAATATTTCAGCCGGTGTTCCAAAAGGGGGCATACTCTCCCCTGTACCTTATAATATTTATGCTGCTGATCAGCCTACTACACTAAACACTTTAATTGCTGATTATGCAGACGATAAGGCAATAATATCTATAAATTCTAATCCGGAAATGGCCTCACACAATCTTCAGAATCACCTTACCCTTATGGAAGTCTGGTATACCAAGTGGCGGTTCAAAATTAACCAATCCAAGTCTATTCACACTTCGTCTCTCTCCTTGCCCTGAAGTATCTATTTATGGCACTCAAATTCCTACTTCTTCTACAGTCAAATATCTAGGACTCACACTTGATCGCAGACTTACCTGGGCTCCCCACCTTAGATCTAAAAGACAAAATTTAAGCCTACGGCTGCGCCTGTTAAAAACTTTGCAATAACAACAAATGTACACACATTAAAACTAAACTCCTAATTTACAAATCTCTAATTAAGCCCATCTGGACATATGGCATACAACTCTGGGGTAATGCAAAAATTTCAAACATCAACAAAATACAAACCTTCCAAAACTTAGCGCTAAGGAAACTACTTAATGCTCCTCCTTATGTCTCCAACCTTTCCATTCAGCAAGATCTCAGGATGAACTCCGTCAAAGATGAAGCAAAACTCTACTATAAGCGGTTTCACAGTAGGTTACTGAATCATCCTAACATTCCTAACCCTCTTATAAAAAATCTAGCAGTCCCTTCGATCCCGGGTAACCCCTTCAGACGTCTCAAACGTAATTGGTGTCGTGACCTCCTAAATGCTTGATTCCTAGATCAAATTTCTCCTAATAAACTAAACAAAATAGGTAGTGTACTAGTGTCATCAATGAGTGGCTTCTCCCGTCATATTACTCATATGTTTTTTTTACTCTTATCTAATTTGCTTATTATTCTATGAATAGATTGTAAATATCTAGTAAAAAATAAAAAAAAAAAATAAATATCTCTTAATATATAATATATTAATATATTATACACAATGGAAAAACATTTTAAGTCTCTAAAAATAATATAATATTACGACAACATATCTAAATTAATTAACTAAATATTATGTTTCTGTAAGAACAATGTATACAATTGTCAAGACTATTAAAATGGAAAATTTCTTACAATTTTAACTTAAAAATAATTTTGTTTTTTTTTAAGCATCTGAAGCTCCAAAGCTTATAACAAAAGTTGTATACACTATACATGTATTTTTTAAGTTGCTATAAGTAAAACTTATAATGAATCTAGTTATTAAGCTTTTTGGTAAAGCATATTACATACATTTTAAATTCCTATAAATAATAGTTTGAAATTGGTGAATGTTGAAAATATGTTAATGTTAAATGATAATTTAATATCCAATTTCAATCATTTAAAATAAAAAATTTGGCTTACCTTGAATTACAATTACAGTGTGTAAATTTGATAAGAATAATTATTATATTTTTAAGCTGTATTTCTCGACTCGTGAATAAAACAATCATAGATTACAAAAATATAGTAAAAAATATGAAATGTCAACAAATGGCATAGAAGTGACAATAATTTTTCAATCTCTATTTTGGTAAATAATGTAGGTAATATAAAATATTTTTATCCCACAACAAAAAATTGTAATAGGGAATCCACTATACCCAGTTTACGAGTCACAACTCTCTGAGGTACCTAATACAGTTTTGGGTAATATTCAAAATATTAAAAAAAAAACACTTCCCAAAAGTATTTTGAACTTAAACCAAGTGGTTAACTTGAAAACACATTACCATAATATACTAACTAGTTGAATGTATTTGATTGCTGGGCTATGTGGTAATTATTAAGATTAGTGAAATCGTTTTATTTAAATAAATTAAGAAAATATAAGGTATTAATGTCACCCATGACAGGAAAACAAATCAAAGTAAAGACCAGTCTTTTTCAACACAGACTAGACAATCAAAATTGTTTAAAAACAAACAAAACAAAAATCATTCTTAGTGGATTCCAGCATAATACAGTAATATGAAGTCAATCTACTTGCGGTATACCGGAAGTTTATGCATATTGCATAACTATTTGACGCAAAGTGAATACTTTGCACCTACATATGAATAATATGATAAACACAGTGGAAATTAAATTTTATACGTTTGTATACATATAATAATCATAAAATATGAACTAATTTGGTAATGTTACTGAGCTCATATTCTCATAACCTGATAGGTATCTATTTATTTAACTTACTACTCAGGGACGGTCCAGGAAGGGGGCTAGAGCCTAGGCCCCCTCAAACGTATTTTTCTCAGATTTTTCACTACTCCCTGTTTACTACCCAATGTAAAAACTTGTGCAAGCAAAAAAATTGACAAAACCGAATTATCTGTTGTAGGTTTGATACATTCCTTTTCAATATTTTGTTACAGGTGGGTACTTAATAAGATGGTAAAATTATTTCCTGGATACTGTATCACCATGGTTTATGAACAATCAATATTGTTTAATTTGGTGAATTACAAAAAAATTCGGAACACGGCAATAGTGGAATACTGGAATATAACAGGATTTGTACAGAAGTATAAAATACAGTAACACTAAACACACTACACAAAAACCATCGAGTGTGGACACACCACAATTTCTGATTTTTAAGGCAAGCCGTGAGTGTAAATGTTATTGTTTGTGTGACGATGTAGACATGGAGCTGATAGAGTAGGACACTATATTTTGTACATCGCGGTTTGTCTTGTGAACTTAATGTGAAAGTGTGAACACAGTACGTAATAACAGCATAGTATTACGCACACAGCAAATTAAATATTATGCCTAATTTAAATTATTCGTGTAATCGTGAATGGTGATGTTGAGTGGTTCAAAACTTTAACAGTTATACTATAGTTTGGTTATAGACTGAAACTGAAAAATTAACAGTACAGAATACTGAAAATTTTTAATTTACAGCACCTATTTAGAAATAGTGAAATAGTCTGTGGTTTGGTGACGGGTGATCAGTAAAGTTACCCGCGTCTTCGTCTTTGACACACCAGTGCCGCCAACTTATCGGTGCGCTTCGACCGTTGCGTGCCGATGCGCAGCGCTTACCGTAACCGCCGTTACCGTCGGTGGAGGACCGTCGTCCGGTGGATCGACGCCGGCGCATTGGTCAAATACCGCGGACAGCCGTTCATATTTTTTCGTACGCTTCGCTGATAACGTGCTTTGTTTACGTTTGTCGATATCAGAGTTTTGATTATTGATAGTAAAAAAATAAAAATAAAAAAGTAATAATAATAAATTACTCGTTATACACACACATACATACACATTTATACGGTTATTATATTTTATTATTATATATATAGGTGTATATATATATATATAATAAAAGTGTACACAGTACTATCGTTAGTCAGTAAAAATATTTTTTGTGAATTTCGTTATTATTTTTCGATTATTTTCTCCCGACCATCGGAGCTCCGGATTACGCCTGGACGCCTAACGTTTCGCGTGTCGACCGATGTCCGTGCACTGTTCGCGACTCACCAACACCGAATCGTACCAACAGCATTCGTCTTCGTCGTTGTTATTGCTGTCATCGACTTCGTGGTCATTGTCATTGTTGTAGTGCTCAGTGGAGGAAGTTTGCATTCACCGGAGACCGCGTTCAATTGTGACCACAGAATTGGTGAGTAAAAAAAATATTCATTGTTTTGTGATTTTTGGATTGACTTGACCAAATACTACTATCGATGAATTTGTGTCGTGATCCCGAGTATTCGACAGTTATCGACACTATTTTGGGTAGCACATTTCAAACGTCTATATTCTTGTATCACACTCATTACAATGAAGTCGATTAAAGATTATTAATATTAATTTTATTATCGTTGATTTACAGGTTGCAGAATGTGGTAACCAATATTATAACTAAACAGTTAAAGCGATGCAGAATGTATTTTCCCGAGACATGTTTTCAATGGGTACATTTGATGGCGGAGTCAAGTGTAATGGACATGTCCAATTGTCTGGACGCTCATCGAAAAAAGATCGCAAGGGGTGTAAAAAAGAAAAAATTGAAACTGTTTTAAAAAACCGGTTTATTACTCCAGCAAAAGTTAGGCAACCTGTGCTTAAGTTGCCTAAAATTAATGTTAAAACTAAAAATCAAGTTATTAAGCCAGTTGAATCAGTAAAGAATAACTCAGCTATTGATCCTGTGGTGAATAGACCAAATATCAAAGATGATGTTCTAAAGTTCAAAGAATTATTGTACAAAACTACATCTCCAACACCTCCTCCTGTTGAAGTCCCAGAAAAAGTTGATGATCGTTTGTCCACTGTATTTGAATCGTCACCAAAAAAGACAAAAGCCAAAAAACGAAATAAAATTAAGGCTGAGAAAAGTGTGTCTGGTGGAAATAAAAAACCTGATAAAATAGACCCTCTGATTGAAAATGACAAAAACCAGCTCAGCTGCAGTATAATTACTATTCCGCCTAAACGAAATCATGCTAAGTTAAGTAATTGGCAAAAAGATTGTGGAACCAGACATGAAACATTGCAGAGGATACTAAAAGAATGTGAAAAAGAAGCTAAATTGAGGGAAAACTTATATCCTTTAGGTAAATAAATTATTTAATAATATATTGATTGTATATTTATTATGTTTAATTTATTAAAAATTGTTTTTTTTGTAGATTTAGCATCATCTGATGTATCGTCTGACACTGATGATCCATTAAATTTAGAGTTAGAGGATGCACCGTATCAAAAATTTTGGTTACCTTCCGATCAAATTGAACCTTTAGATCGAGATGCTAAAGTGAAAAACTTGCGATCAGTACTTCGGCGAAGGTTTCATCAAATGTCTAACCTTCCTGATAACTCACCATCTCCTGATTTAGTATTAGCAATGACAAGCGCTATACGACATGATCCTATTTGTATCAATCAAATAGTATGCCAAGAGTCTGATTTTAAACCTAAATTTAAAAGGTTAATAATAATCATTAAATTAAAATTGTTTTTATTTTATTAGAAATATATGTAAATACATTGTCAATTATTATTTCGACAAATTAATATAAAAATATTTATAGATTTTCAACGAAATAATTGATTTTGGTTTTTCTTTTTCAGTATTGGTGGTGTGTCTTTGGTACAGCAAAAATGTTGTTTGGAAAGATGCCACTATCCTGCTATACCATGCACTCGTCATTGTTTTAGACATATTTTACGAAATGTTGACCAACTCCTTTTTGAACACTGTTCTGCACGAACTAATCAAGGACCGTGTACCAATGCTGTGTTTAATATTCGTGATGTACAGTCTTTGTGCTTTGACCATTTGTACTCTAAAGACACAATAATTCCGACAATAATTCCAGTGAGTTGGAAATAGCAATAATCACAATTCAATTTATTTAAATTACATCAAATGTTATTAAAAATAATTTTAGACTGAGGAAGTACCTGCTATCAAGTCTAAACCTCGTAAAAGGCCAAAGAATACTCCATTTAACAAGCTGTCAAAGCGTAATAAAAAGAAAAAGCAACTGCCTAAATTCCCGCTTGAGCCTCCATCATATACGGAGACAATCGAACCTAATACTATTGAGCCAATTACATGTACTAACGATCTGCCTCAAAATATCAGTTGTGATGTTACATCACTTTACTCATCTGTGGCCAATCCTGATATTTATTTACATCCTGGTAAAGATTAATTTAAACTACCTACTAAGATAGAATAGACTGGAAATGATTAGCCAGACTCATTTTAGTTTGTGACTAAAAAATAAGCCAGCTTAAAATATTAAGTGTTGGCCTTGTATTTATACATATCCATCAAACAAACAATATTTATGTTTAAAGGTAGAGCTTTATGGTTTTAATCAACATTTCCTATTAAATGTATTATATCTCTTCTGAGCGATAATCAAACCAGTGATATGATGCTCACTTACAGTCCATTCTATCTTGCTTTATGATTAACACATTTTCAAAATCTTATAAAATAATAAAATAATAATTTTTAATAGTTGGTAATAATATTATTACACATGAAGTAGAAGTTGGTGATGAAGTACTTGCTGGCTTAGATGCGGCTGATTTAGCAAGTCATGCATCACGGCTATTGGATGATCATGATGATATTACAAGCGTGTTCAGTCAAATACCTGTAGATGCATTCAATGATCTCTTTACTGGTAAGTGTTTATAAAATATAAATGTGCAACTAATTATGCTGATTTTTATCATTATACGTAATTTTTTCTTTCTTAAGTTGATAAAAATGGACAGTATGTACCTTCTCGCGAAGAAACTGAAGAATTAGAAAGAGCATTGGAAGCTGTTGACATGGATGTCAGATCGCTTGAAAGATTGTCACAATCACACATGGCCAATATTTTGGATCCTGCTTCACTACTAGCAGACTTACCGATACCTCCTTTTTCCAGCTCATAGCAAATTCAAGATATTAACATAAATAAGGTAATCTTACGAATAAAAGATAATTATTACTAAAAAAATAAACTTAGGTAATTTCTTAAAAAAATACTATTAGTTAATTAATTTATATTTCAAATTTCCTATCTTCCCGAATCTTTATTATAATTTTACTAAATGTTTGTGATAAATAGTTTTAATAAAGTTCAAATACATTTTATAATTATTATATAACTTTTATAATTTGTAGTCAAAATAATGCATATTATTTACTTTTTAGTGTATCAAAATTTCAGTTATGAATATCTATTTGTAAAAACACATTGTTAATAAATTCTGCATTCAAACAAAAACTGCACATATTACTAATTTCAGTAATTTAATAAATTTATTCTGATCAATGAACTAGATTTGAAATAATCATTTGATTAAAAAAAAAAATTAAATGACACATAAAATTGAATTAAATTTGTATTGTGATCACTTATTAATTAACAAATGATAAGATTCTGATTCAAATTATAAATAGTGATTTTTGAAACTAAACAGTATTTTACAGTTTAAGCATTAAAGTACATAGAACTTTAATAAGTAAAAACACACAATTTACCTTGCTTAAAATCGTATTAGTTATTTTTTTTATTTGATTAATTTTAAAGTTAAAATAGAACAAACCAAATATAATTTTAAATTATAAAGACCGAGGTGAATGTGTAATGTGATAGCCATAGTTTCTACAACCTATTATTTTTAATTTTTGTTATATATATTTTACTTAGGTTGACTAATAATTTAAGTATATTTTTATTTTTAATAAAAAAAATTCAAGTTTTGGGTGTTTTTAAAATTAATTTAGTTATTTTTATTTATGGAAATTGAATAATATATAATTTGTACATTTTTTAATCAAATCACATTAACATTCCGAGTGTTATATTAAATAGAAATCAAATTATATGCTGTTACCATTATTTTTTAATAAAATGTTCTTATTTATTTGATTTATTTTTAACTTGAAAACAATAATCTATTTTAAATGTCAATATCTGTAAATTATACTCTTACAACCCATTTAAACTTAGCTTAATATTTTACCAGTTCATAATTGTGTTAAATTTTGACTAACAACTATGTTTGATAATTTAATTTACTCTTGATGTATGATAGCATTCTTGACCTTACAGTTTACCTCAAGTGTTTTAAATTTATTTTAATAGTGTTTATTTTTATATTAAAACTCAAGTAATTGTGAAAGTATTGATTTTACAACTTAATTGGAAATTGATGCTTACTTGGAAAATTTAATTTTAATTACTTCTAATGTGTAACAGGATAATGATTTACCCATATTAATCTCATGATATATTGTTAAATACAAATGATATAAATATAAATTATTAAAATGGTGTTTTATTGATATTAATATTCATTTTTGTTTAGATACTGATAATAAATAACTAAATAATGTATTCATATAAGGCTAGGTAAGTTAAGTAATTTTCCATCTCTTTAATAGTTCATGGTTTCTGATATGAAAATTATAAGATTGTAAAAATTATTAGTTAAATAGAAAAAATAGGAAAAAGTTAAACTTGGTTAATAATCAATTAATTTTTTTTTAACTTCATATTTACAATTTATACCAAAGTACAATAAGCACAGTTGATAAAAGTATAGACAGTTTCCAGAAATGCCATCCAATAATAGAGCCCTACTAACAGAAAGTATTAATTTTTGGTAAACTAATTTTTAAAGAGATCCGAGGTGCCAATGTTTTTTTAAACATCAAAACTAGGTTATCTGTTAATGGTATTCTTGAGACTTGAGAGACTTGAAATTAATTGATTTGGGCTAGACAGTCATTTTCTATGGAAATGTATTTGAAGTTGCTTTTATATATGTTATATTATTATGTTATTTATGTTTACTGAAATTCAGATATAGTGCATTCAACACTGACAGTTAACAATTTAGTATCTACAATATTTACTTGTAACATTATAAATATTATTTTGGTTCCATTTATTTTTATTTTTTTCAAGAAAAACAATGATTTGTATAAAACAAAATATTTTTTAAGCCTATGGAGCAGGGAACAAATTCACTTAACGTGACTTTAAAATTAATTATCTGATTAGTAGCTGCATATCATGGAAAATAATTTAACTTGTTATGTAATTTAGTTAAAGTAACTTAATTTTAACTTTTTAATTAGTTAAAGTCAAACCTTGATTATATGTTTAAAATTAAATTGTAATTTACTAGAAATTGATTGTTTAGTTGGTTGGATTTTAAATGGATTATACAGAAATGTATGATTAGTTCTTAATTATTTTGAGTCTGTGTTAAATTAATTTTACAATAGTTTCAATAATTTTATTTTTAGGTAAACCTGTGAAATATTGCAATTATTGTTTATTTGTGATCCTATGTTTGTTAAATTAATTCAATGTCTCAAATTAATGTGTTTGAACTGTTCATAATAGAAATATCAAATTTGAATATCTTTCAATATAACTGATGTTTTCTTAATGAAATATTAATCATCAACTTAAGTTAGTTTTTATAATACTATTTGTAATTAAAATACTCATTGAATAAAAACAAATTTAATCTTTTGTGGGTAACACATGTTTAATATTGAAAATTTGTTTAGCTCATTAATAATAAAATAAAATATTGTAGAAATGTTCTCACCATGTAAGATTCAGTTTGAATAATGTCTGCTCTGTAAATAAGAAAATAAATTTATAACACCAAAAAACAGTTTAATTATTATATGCCTTGTGTTAAATATGTTTATTGCTGTGACCAACAGGCTGATCAGACAACATAAAATATCATGTTTGAAATAATATTTTATTTCGCATTAACCGTTGCAAAAACTAAATTTTCATTTATATTGTTTCAGATAAGAGACTTAAACAGGTGCACAGATTAGTGAGAAGAGGATTAAAAGTAATTAATTAATAATAATGACAAAAAAAAAAAAAAAAATAGGTATCCACTTATGATTAGTTGGTGTTATTATATAATTATTTATAATTTATTTTAACAACCAATTGGTAAGTTTGAGCAATACTCAATGTTCTTGAGTACGAGGCTGCTATAAAGCTTAGTAGAGCACAGTTGTGGTGTTATTGAAAACTTTTTTTAAAATAAAAAAACAACAGTATATAATAATTTATTAATTAGGAATTTTAAAAATGTGTATTCTACAATGTGCATATTTAAAACATTGTAAACCCGAAACATTATACAATTTTTTTTTTACCCTATAATTTCTGAAGACTAAACATACTGTGAACCTCAATTTTGGTGAACTACTCGTACTTTTGTTGAATTAATATTAGATTATGTAATTTCTTATATTTAATAATAATACAAGGAACACAAATGTCTTGTTTATTACCAGTTGCACATTCCATTTGCAACTGTAATAATATATATTTTTTTTGTATCAATACTTAACATCATTTATTACTATTATTTATTTTTTTATACTGTTCAAGCTCTTCCACAATTATGTAAATATATTGGAACGTGACAACTTTTGCATTTTATTTTCTTCTTTGTGTATGTTTTTTTTTATGTACAATTGTGAACAAACATTTTAACTAGTAGGTCGTAATTATGTTTTTATTTGTAATATGTATCATGTATGTACAAAAAAAAAATATATATATATATTTATATATATATTAAAGAAAAACAAATAAATCAATGTTACGTGTATTTACGTATGTTAACAATATAATATATCAACATGTGATATATTATTATGTATTCTTATAATTTTATACTCTAAACTTTGAAGTCTCCAGGAATGGATCATGATTGCTGTTCCTTGAAGTATTTGTAGGCGATTGAAAAATCCTTGTCACCCCATCCCATCTGCGATATACGTGCGTACACGTCCACAGTAAGGCGCGTTAAGGGCGTCTGCGTGTGTGTCTCCTTCGCAAGCGACTCTCCCAATCTCATGTCTTTCAGCAGCAAATCGGCTTTGAAACCATTCTATACAGATATTTATATTTATATTTTATATTCTAATTAATACCTAACTTAAATTAGTGTTAGACGATCATGTTGGTCAGTTACCATTTTAAAACAACTTTAAATGTTTCACATTTAATACATTTTTTGATATGACTTTTAAGAAAGTTATGACGGTGTTTATTTTTATACCATGGGGCATAGACGTCACTGTGGTTCACCTCAATTACGCCCCTGAATTAGAGGGTAGGTTACTTATCTCACCTTTGAAATGAAGGTACCTATCTCTAATTTATGATATAAGGGCTTGTTGGTATGGGAAATTTTAATAATGCTGGGTTATGATTGTTATTACTAATAATAATTTAATTATTTTTTGAGCTCTCTGAGAGAATTTTCAGGAATAAAGTTGCTTAGAAGATTTTGATCGTGGGGTGTTGGGGGTTGTACAATTTTGCAGGAGGCTTCTGAATATGTAATTTGGCTATTTTAGTGACTATATGGACGTGCAGATCAGTTTGAATGGTATGATTTGAAATATTTAAGAGGAGAGTTTGTTATGAATAAGATTTTTGATTGGAATACTTGTATTTTTTATGCTATAGTTTTTTTGACGAAGCTCCAATTTTGATTAGGTACCATATTAATCATTAAGGCTTGAAATTTATTGCTGTAAAAAATGTATTTATTAAAGTTAAAATTAAAAAGTAAAAAAGTAATGATATTTAAAATTTAAATTAAAAAAATGCATTTTAAATATTTATGTTTCGAATAGGTTGATAGGATTTGTGATGCAAATTGATAAATGAAACACTCAAAATTTAACAATTGTTAACGGAGTTGCATGTGTGTGCTTGTAGATTTATTTACACGTACGTGACTGGCTGATCGGCCGTGTAGTCAAGTTAACGAAGAAAAACTAGGCAGGTAAATTAGAAATTTTGTCATCGTCTCTTAAATTATTTTTAGATATGAGAACGGCGGTCTAAGAGCGTTAGTATATTATTATAATCAGTGGCATCTATTGACCATTTACTTTGTGTATTGAACTTAATAAAAATAATTTTAAGTACATACCCTCTTGTTACCTAATTACATATTCAGGGGGAGGGTATGGATATCAGACATCAGTCTATATATATTTGAGATACCTACCTATGAGAAACCAATATCTATCACTGTATGCTCACGTTCGGGGTTTGTTCTTATGCGACCATCGGCCACTATATGTATACCTACCTACATTCCAACATTTTTTGTATTTTCTAGAAATTATTTAAAATTTTGTGAAAAATGACCTAATGTTATGATTAAAAAGTTACATTTGTCAAAACACGTAAAAAGAAAAATGACATACTTAAATATAATCTGCAGTACCTAACTATTACCTATAGGTAGCAGGTTATAAATGTGCATTTTGAACATGATGTTAGAGTATTTCTGACTTCTGTAGTAGGTATAGACTTGAGAGTTGAGATATTTAAATTTTAGGTAATTGTACCCGATGCAATGACGACGGCTCTGAAGTACCGGTAGAATGTTTGGGTTAAGTTTTTTTCCACTTTCAAGCTGACGGTTACGGTGTTCGAAATTAAAAAAAACCGTAATTTAACCGGTAAATTGTATAGTACAGATACTCACGACTGCACAGTTTGTAAAAAAAAAACTGAATCGAAATTTTTGCCCGGTCGTGTTATAAAAGCTACAACCATATAATAATTAATAGGTACAATACATCGGTGCCTACCTACGGTATATACCTATACCTATTACCTACCCGGCATTGCCTACTTAATGTTAAGGCTATCACTGACTTTTGAGTCACGGAGACAGGACTGACCTGAACTGCTGATCTGTATAGTTTGTATACGCGAATTGGGTTATTATGTAAAGAAATATAATCGCGAGAGGGAAAAATAATACTATGTATTTGGCCTGCAGGGTGAACAATTTCGTTGAGTTTCGTGTTTTTGGTCTGATGAAAAATATCAAAAGATCAAATTCAAAAAAAGAGGTTTTCGCAAAGAATTCGAATGATATAAGATTTGCTGGTGATTCGTACCAGATAATCGTTGTTGCTGGGAATGTCTTTGTCGATGGCTCCGGGCACGGGATTGTTGATTTCGGATGCCCAACACCGTCCTGTGCTCGTATTGATGACGGATGCCAGAACCTTAGGTTCCATGCCTAGCCTGGAAGAAAATGGTCCGGTAAGTGAATTTTTAATAGTATGATTGGTATTGATGAAATCGAAATTAATAATAAAATACTACGTGTTACTGCGTTGTGCGTACAATATAATGTGATAAATAATATTATTATGATGCGTGGGCATAATAATTGATGACTTAAAAGTTAAAATAAGTCTAAATAAACTGGAAAAATGAACCCCTGACAGGGGTGTGGACCCTTTTGGTTATTCATGTTTTTTTTTTGAATTATAAAATTAAAAAATAATTTTGTAAATTATGACAACAGCGTTTATAAGTGCACTCAATATGTTTGGTGGTCTCAATGGTAGTGTGGTACCTACCTAAAAAAAGGGGATTTTCAGTATTGAACGTTAATAATTAACTAATAATAAATAAATAAATAATTAAACTCTGATGAATTTTCTTCGTCTTTTTAGTAGGTACTCTAAGTATAAGTACCCTAGTTATTATACCTATTTTGTGATAAGTTTATTTCAATATTGTCTTATTGAACTTTTGAAGTATACCTATAAGTACTATAAGTGCTCTTGGCCCATGCCTATTTAATAACAATTTTTTTCGGTATTTCTTAAAAATAAATTATATAATATAAATAATATAATATTAATTATCGAGCAAATTTAAGTAAATATTAAACATTTGAATCAGGTAGGCACCTATAACTGAGTACTGGCAACTCCAATAAATAATTTTTTATTAAGTACCTACCTATTCACATTGTTACACAAGTTTGTACACTTCTTCAATTTTTTTTTAAATGTTGTTAAATTGCAATAAAATACCTACCCACACATAGGAGGTACTTACTTATATAATTTTTTCACATATTTTAATATAAATGCACAAATATTTTTGGTATTGCATAGGTACGATCTAATGATTATCCACGAGTAGTTTATATAGACAGGTACCTACATATTTGGATTTAAAGATTTCTTAGTTATTATTCAACCCTAAATCAGAATATTTTTCTAAAAATTTCGTACATTGAAGTATTATTTATTAATTATCGAACCAATTTAATTACTTATTAAACAGTCGTTTAAAGTTTGGGTAAGTGGAGTGGAAAGGTATAAGGTCTTAGGGCATCTGCACTGCGTGGTGCCTAGGCACATTTTGCTCGTCTAAACTTTAAGAACATATAAATAATTAACTATACCAACACATACACAATTAGTTGGTCCAATGTGGAGTGATTTCTTGATTTTTTTCATCGTGAAACCCTTAATATAATATTTCATAATCTTGTTCAGACGCTGTTTTATTTAAGGGTGATAATGTTAGTGAAATATAAAAAAAATGTCGCATGTAATATTATAATACAGCAGGGACCTATCTCTCCCTGGCCACTACTTACTCCTACCTACTATAAGAGCATAAACCTATAAATGTAACTTATATGTACATTTCAACTAGAACGTTGAAATAATTCTTGAATAAAACGTTATTTTCTGGATCAGTGATAAAAAAAAATCACTCTATGCAATTACATAATTATACCTCTTTAGAATATAAGATGTCAATATGAACTTAAAAAGTGTACCTACGTATTCCAAATAAATACTGATTTAATGATATGTGCGAACACCTCCAATCAGTACCTATGTAATATATGTAGGTGCACAATATATTAATAATAATATATAATATAATTTATATCTATAAAGATACATATCGAGTTGAATTTCAATAAGTCTTGTGTGGAAATACATTTTCGTTTCTAAACTGTTTAATTGCTAGTACGTCACGCATCAGTGTTGTTTTAGTCAGTAGCTACAAAAGTATAAAATTCGATTATATAATATACCCACCTAATAATAATAATATTTAGTAAATCATATTATTTTTAAACATTTTGCGCCATTCCATCTATATCCCGCATAAATGCATAATACACTTACGCCGGGCTACGCATAAAGCCACTATAATATAGAGTTCGCTGTATTATGTAATAATCTATTAATTATTATAATACCTATAATATGAATTCTGTCCATAATCGCTTTTACTGAGAGGATGTAATAATATTATATAAACGGTGCCTATATGGCTGTATAATATTCGTCGAGAAACAGCGAAATTATCTGAAATACATATTACGACAAAATACGAAGCCATACATTCATCATCCACCCCGACCCAATAAACCCCTTATTTACAGTAAATGTATTAAACTATTACAGTCGTATTACTCATTGACCTGTATATATATGTATATTAAATTATAAGCCTCTGCACCAACTAGAATACTAGATCATCAACGTGCCCCACTTTTTGCACTTCAATACTGCACCATATGTAAGTATACCCAAGACGCGTATACCAGAGTACATATACCGTGGACTATCAGTCTTGTTATAATTAATAATCTAAAAATAAATCACGTATGAAAACGGTAGAGACGTACTTAATGCCCAGGTTCATAGCCTCAGCCACCGCAGCCATGGTCATACCGAGTATCATGTTGTTGCATAACTTGGCGACCAGCCCCGAACCGGCCGGTCCGCAGTACACCCACCGGGACCCCATGGAGCCGAGTAGGTGTTCGGCCGCCGTCAGCGTGCTCTCGTCCCCGCCCACCATGAATGTCAGAGTGCCGTTCTGTGCACCCACCACTCCTGCGCCAAAATTACGATCATAAATGACTGTGATAACATTGATTTATTGGATTTCGCCAGGGCCGTATTTAGGGGGAGCAATCTGCAATGGGGACATTTGCCCCGGGCGGCCAAATATTGATCTATTTATGGGGCGGCCGTGGCCCCTGCGGTAACTCAGTGCAGTATATTGTATCAATAAATATTTTTTTTTTGGAAAAAATTTGTACTATGACTCGACCCTTGTTGCATTTTGTATTAGACATATTTGTATATGCAACTCAAATATAATGTCTCGTTTATGATAATTATCATAAATATATGAGTAAATATACAAGTAATTCTAACAAGACTGTAAATAGTAGATATTTAGTCTTACATTTTATCTAAATTTTTTATCTTTAATAGACTGGAAATTACCTCATCGAATATTGGTGATCTTGGGAATCTCAAAGTACGTACCCGGCGCAATCGGGATATTTATTTAGTTTTGATAACCACTGTATAGGTAGTTTCCTACTTAATGTGTACGGGCCGCAATTGGGATAGGTGAAAAGGTAAAAAGGTTACTTTGGGCCGCAATTGGGCAACACCCGTAAAATTATGACCTTGGACATCGCTGGATGGAACATTGCTTACTTTATCTATAGGTACCTAACCCCTGACGGCGACTCAAAATGTCCTACTGCGGGGTTTTAGGTTAAAATAATTCTCTATTTACTATAATTAGTTCTTAACTAACCTAACCTATTGGCTAAAAATGAGAACTTAGCCCATCAATGGAGTAAATGACTAATTATTAGTAGAGGATCAATATTTTGCCAAAAGATCATAAATAATTATTTTATGATTTAAAATTTTTTGTAAATGGGCTGCACTATAATACAATATACACTTAATAATGTAAATATAAATACCTCCTGACACAGGTGCTCCTAAAAATTTACAACCCTTCTGCTCGGCCATGTTTGAAACTTTTTTAGAACTCTCTGGACTGATTGTACTACAGTCCACAAATAACTGTTCCGGTTTCGAAGACCTAATATAAAAAAAAAACTACTAAAAAAAAGAAATATTTTTTATAACATTAAAATGTATACGAGTAAATTCTTTTTATAATAGGCAGGTTTATAATGTTTTTTTGTTAAATCTTAAGTTAACATCCGTTGTATTTGGCATTTGCACCCCTTCTCATTATTAACTGTGAATTTGTATTACTTATTCTATCATAATATAGGACATAGGTATTACTAAAGTTACAGATTGTAGTGTTATTTATTCAATAAGAATAAAAAATATAAAAATAGGATCGAGATGTTCAATCTTCTTTAATTTATTTGATTTCGATTTTTTTATTTATCTATTTGGTGTTATATTAAATATTAAATTATAGCATAGATGGTTTCTCGTGAAAAATTTTATTTTATCAACATTTTTTCAATTTTTTTTTAAATTCAAACAAAGCTAATGTTTCGTACCGATCTAAAATATGTTCAAACAATTTAGAGGTATTCATATCCCGTGACACTGGTATCTGCCATCACTCATATTAAACTTATTTAAGTTATTGCAGCGGTCTTCACCGTATAAGGCTATAGTACGATGCAAGTACAATCAAAATGTAATTTTTATTGGGCAAAATTTATTATTTTTTTTGGAGAAAAGTGTAGAAACTTGTTTAGTGGTAAATACTACTGAATAGTTATGTACGAAAATAAGTTATTGTGTGTAATATTGAATGAAAACATTTTTATTCCAAAAATCGTATAACTTTTTGATTTATTGCCCAATGCAACTTTACTTTCTATAAGCCATGTGCCCCTCATATGTCCTACCTAATATATAGTTAATAATTATTAATAATAATATTTTTTAAATTACTTTATAATTTTATGTTTTGTTGACATCGGCTATATAATTGGTGTTATAATAATGTTTCATGTTGAGTGAATTTTAATGTAATTTCCGTTTTATCCGAGTGCTCTAAACTTTTTTCTATAATTACAAAATTTGATTCATACATCAAAGTATATATAAAGTAAACTATTTAGCTTAAAAGTTGTTTTCCAGAGGTTTTTTAAGTATGTATATTTTTTTTTTAGAGCATTTATAATCAATACCACTTTTTAGGATTTTTTTCACTGTTTTCTTGTGGAAAATAAACATTTGATAAAAACCCACTATATTATTTGCCGTATATCAATCAATATAAAAATGCAACTTTCGTTTTGTATAAGATTCTGAGTGGATCAATGAATACATTGGATTTACAACGATATTTGTTTTTTTGTGTATGAGAGCGCTTTTTATGAAACAATTATTGAGTATTAATATTGAAAATGTTCACTTTTTTATTCATGTTGATAATATTTTTATTTCTCAGTTCAAAAAGTTAAAAATAAGTACAAGGTTTTTCATATATTTTTCTAACAAGAATTAAAAAAAAAGTTTTACTCAAAGCCACATTACACATTTTTATGAGCGTTTGAAAATTATATTTTGTTGTGGCTGGATGTTGGAGAGAAAAATTAAGATATTTCATTACAATTTTAGTCATTTAACATTTTATTGTAATAAGATAAAAAAATATTAATTGTATTGGTGCTTGAAACGTTTTACCCCTTCGTCATATTTTACTTTATGCAAAATGTAATGTTTTAAATAATTAGACTAATTTTAATTTACATATTTATACTTCGAACTTTACTTAGAAGTTCACTTTATTCTACGGTACGACTGTACGAGGTATGGACTTTTAATAGTTAGCAATAATAATTTATTATGATAGCTAATGTAATATGTGGCGTTTTTTGCAAAAATTAGTTCAATTTACCGAGTACTTCTAATAGAAAAATATATTATTTATTTACTTAGATTCATAAATAAATTATAAATATTCTTAGAAATAGTGGCTGATACACCTTCGACCTTCACTGCCCATATCTGTATTGTTGTTTGTGTGTAATAATTATTTATCATGTAACATGCATCTATTACAGGTACTCGAGACATTTTATATAGCAGGGAGTTTTTCTGTATTTTTGTATGTACACTGTAATTTATTTTTTAGCAGTTATTATTCGAACCTAATTTTGTTCTTTTTTAAATTTTTGACACATCGGAATCCGTGGTCCAATAATCGGTAATACACCGATGTATTGCCCACTGGGCTCTATTAAACTCATTCTGAGCCCGGAATACAGTATATTATTCTATATTAAAGTCAATCCTCACTCTAGTAATTTCTCGTACGCCGAAAGCACGTGCTTGCTCGCCGGCAACATGGTGATCACGGCGTCCGAGGACGCGGCCACTTGCTGCAGCGTGTCTGCGGTCTCGGCTCCGTCTAGGCCCCGAAACAAGTCCATTCTCTCGGCAGACACATCGTTGCCCACCACTCCGTAACCCTGTAAAGACATTCATGGGATGTAATATTATGACATTATTCAAAAAGTTTCATCGGTACATTATTATAAAAACACGATGAAGACATATGGTGTGTACAAAGAGACGTTTTTAAGGGGTAATGTTCGATATATCACGGTGACAAGTATATGCGTCCATATTATATCGCTCGATTTAAATATTTTATGCATTCGCTTGACGAACTAACAGAGTATTGAGATACGCTTCTCTCCTGCGCTGTTTGTATCGCTTAATCGAAGTAATTCGAGCACCGTTTATGTGCGAGCTGGCTTATACGATTTATTTATTTATCGTACCTATTATTGACCGTATGATGTAGGTATTGTGTGTCTTATATTATAAGCTAGTTTAATTATAAATTATTGTACTTAGGAATTAAACTATAAATTATTTTAGATTTTAAATGTTTTCACATCCGTAGTTAACTGTAGATCATTTTCAGACACTGATTGCCGCCCGAATGTAATTTAAGTTATTAAGGACTTCATATTAGGATTGAATCATAAATGAATGTGAATTATACATTATAGTATTGATGATTTTAAACAATTACTTATACAGTTATACCTAAACTAAATAATAATATTATGTAATAACTATACTTATAATAATTGATGAATTAGGTATACGATATTTTGATCAAACTGTACGCTAATAATAAGTTTATGTACCTATTATAATTTATGGTGTATCGTAACGATAATCTGCAGTACAATATTTGTGTTGTTTTGTAGTAGGTCGGTGCATCAGTGCAATATACATCATAATATATTCTCTCTCTATATGTATATATTATAATGTGTCATACCGTATCCCATGTGGACATGTCATCATTAATTATCCTGTGTTTTTATTTAAATAAATAAACTACTTAAGAAGTATTTTTATTTTATATATTACATTAATGATCTATTTTCAATTTTGACGTGTATGTTTTTCAATTGTATTAATTTGACACCAATATTGGTGTGGGTAAAAGAGCCAATGGGGCCACAAGTTCTCGCCTCTTTATGTTTTCCCGTATGTAGGTGAATTATAGAGTGATGACGTCGTGTAGAAAACGTTGTATAATTGATACAAACGGACAGGACTTTCGTCAACAGTCAATTATTTATTAAGCTATTTTTGCTTTTTATTTTGTTTGGAACTTTTCGGTTTGTAGCATATCGCCTCGCCGTCGTTTATTTCGGACGTTTTCCCAGTCACCATTGTATTATACAATGGATATAATGCTATTACAATATTATTGTACTGCTTGCACATAAAATATTAAACATTTATCCCGCGACCTTTGTAATCCGTTACCCGTCGAATTATAATTGCAAATCGTCCGTGACTCCGTTTACTTATTCTATATCTACGATAGACGGATTTTCGTATGAGTTAAATAGTTAAAAACAATTGTAATCAATCTCACACGTCATGAATTTTATATCTGTATATCATCATAGTATATAAGCATATACATATACCTATTCTCTATTTTCGCCTACATTGAACATTCTACCACATATATCTGTGATTTTACTATGTACTATGTAGGTATAAGGGACGTAATGCGTATTATACATTTATATCTGAATGATGTATTTTGCTCAATATTAAATATATATACCAATATCGAACAAAAAATTAAATGTTTTATATTTTTATTTGAAAAAATGAATTCAAGTTATCATATTTCATATTTGAATATGTATAATGCTATTACCTGTTGGCTGTTAACCTATAGTGAAGTCTTTTGATATGAAATTGGACAGTTCGATACCAAAGGTATGCTAGTTATTAGCTAGTATTATAACGGTCTATTATAATATATCGGGGAAGCTTTTGATCAATTTTTTTTGGAAATAAAGTGTAAACAGATAATAATAATAATAATAAGGAAAAACATAGTAATACTAATAGATATAAAATACTTCAATTTTTAATTTTTCTCTGACATTTCCAATGTGTCTGCAGCCCCTCCAGCCCTTCATAAAACACCCTTGTTGTTCATAGTAACCTATATTATACACAACAATATTGTACTAGCACACATTTTGGTATATAGATGTAAGTATATTACATTTTTAATTTTTATAGTTCATTTAAGTCAATTTCATTATAGAATTAAGTGTTCTTTATAATATCGTGTATTTGTGATCCTATATTATACCTCTTTTATAGTTATATTACAGTAATACCATGTAGCATTGTAGCCTCATAAGCATCAGGTATATATTTTTTAAGAAACATAGTTGTTACAGTTACCTATATAAATCAATTAAAATTGTTCTGTGGTTTTCGTATATTTTAACCATTTTAGACCACCGAAAACATTTTATATTTGGGAAATTAAAGAGAAATAATGACGATTTAAGTCAGGTATGCAAAAAAAAAATGAATCAAATGCTTTAAACTAAAAGAAAATCTACTTTAAAACGGGTATATTCTATATTGTCATGATCGCCTCTTTCGTACACAAATAACGGTGTGGTAAACTGAATTTAAATTGGTTTGGAAGTTGAGGAGATATCGAGTGTTTCCTATTTTATCTTGAACACAGTGTACAAGTCGCAAAATATTTTTGGAGCAACTAATTTCCTGAGAGTTGTTGTTGACATAATATTGAAAGCTTGTACTAGATCTATATAAATAGCTGCGACGAATAAAACTTTATGTTTTTTTTAAATGCTAGTTTTTGAGCTAAAGCTATAAAAAAAATAGGTAATATAAAAATAGGTATCTAACGAATAAATACACGAACCCCCTTATTAACACGGAAACACGTGTAGACGCAATTATGGGACTGTCGTACAATTTTTATATAATTGACAAATAATAATAAGTATAAACTTTAATCGTATTTTTTCTATACAATTCGTATGTTTTCGTCGTTTTTACTCGTTAACGTAGTTAGACTAAAATGCATGTGTGCATGAATAACGTTCGCTTTATACTCTAGAACCCAGATGATCAAATAATGAAGAAAACCAACAAAATAACTCTCATATTTTCAGTTCAACAGAGTTTGAATAAATTATAATAATTATTATTATTATTTATAGGTTATAATATATATATATATAATATATATATATATAGGAATAGGAGTAGATTGTAATGATATGTATGGATGCAATTCATATGTACTTATAATTTTTTTTAAGTTGCTTCAATATACTTAATTTATTATTCATTGTTTGTTAACTGAAAATGTGAGAATTATTTTCGTTTTGAGTTCCCCTGGTGTTTTTTTTGATTTTAATATTTTATGTATTTCAGTTATTTGGCATTAAGTTTTTTGGTCGTCGTAACGGGTATTGGATCGTGATTTGTTATGTATCTATAATGGTAAAAAATTGTGCACAATATTCAGTGATGTTTTTTAAACACAGCAACTAAAAGCTTTTATTATTGTTGTTACCGATTTATATCTCGTGTGTTCGTGAATAAAATACATTGATATTATACATTTTTTATGTTGTGTGTTAACATCATACTTTTTTTATAAAATTGTTTTTAATTGCATATTTTTTAGGTTGTGTATTTGAAGTTTTTATTCTCCGTAAAGTGCACATTTTAAAGTTTTTAGGGAAAATATGCACTTTTTCCAACTCTAATTATTACGTTGGAGTGATGCGACAGTGTTCGGTGGATAAAAAAAAAAGATAACTAGACCCGAGTGTTTAGACCGGTATGGTAAAATGCACTCTATCGAGTCATCTCGAAATGAGTACATGTATTATATTATTTAAGTATAATACATGACGGTCTGATAATATATAACTGACGATGGTACAATTATGGTATTATACAAAAAATATTATATTCAGTGTATGTACGCTGTGTGTATACGGGACGTATAGTTTTTTTTTCAGTAATTTTTTCGATATTAAAATATTAAAATATGCAAAAATGAATAATAATAATAATAATAATAATAATTAAGGTATTTACGTTTTTCAATAAGTTTTTCGCCATCGGAATTCCCATGTTTCCCAGGCCGACGAAGCCGACATTTGATTTCCACCGTTTGCTCTCTTCTAAACACACATACATACATACATACTTCGTGTTAAACAAAATTAATATAAAAAATGTATTAATATAATCCGTTGGCGTGCGTAGACTCAATAATTTTGAGACGATCTTTGTAAAGTAATTATTGCAGAGTTACTAAAATTAAAATTGCGTTACTCGAGAGTCGAGAAGAGGCCCGTCGTTTTCTACCAAAGCCATATAATATCATACATAGGTACCTAACCAATTATATTATCATAGTAAATAGAAACTTTACAATTTAAAAGTTTCAATCAGGAACTTAAGACTTAAAATATTGTATGATGTTATATTATATATTATTATGATGTTATCCCAGGTATCTCATGTAGTCATGTCCGTGAAGTTAGCCCTTAACTTAATATTTTATAAATTAATTGCAAATATAATCGCAAATTGGGTTTTAAAAGTTTTAGACAAGTCGTTAAAATGTATTAGGCTCAAAACTAATTTACAGAAAAAAAAAATACCTATTCAAATTGTGAAAATTGTAGAAAGATATATATATTGATTTTCAAATTCTGAAAACTGTTCTACAGTTTTTTTGTAAAATATTGACAGATTTACCGAATAAATCAGACTAAGTCGGTTGGCATACTTAACGGACTTAGCTTCGTTTCTGTATACAAAGGATTGTATTGGTGGTGAATTTAATATTTATAAAACCGTTGTACGCGCGCTTATTTTTTGACTAGTTGGTTTATTTTATTTTTATAAAATTACTGAATAAACAAACTTCTCTGAAACATAATCGTACGGGTGGTGTGTATTTGACTACGTGCCGGGTGGTAGTTTTGTCGGCGGTACCTAGAGAGAGGGTATGAGTGCGTGTGTAATATTTTACACCTCTTTTATGGTTATATTATTATACTCCCGAGTTATGCTACACTGTTGTTCTTTATATTGTTATCGCGTTAAATTAATAATTTATTTTTGACAGGTAGGTAACCTGCTTTAGAAGTCTGCAAAAATGAAATCTATTTGCTATAATAATTTGTCTACAGAAATAATATAATGCTTATGTATTATATATAACATTATGCATAGCAGACTGTTATGTATAATATACGTGTGTCGGGTGTACGTCAAACGGGCATACATGTGTTTTATGATTTTTGATAATCGTTAAAATATCATTTGTATAAATATGAGATGTTGAGTACGTAACGTATATTATGACGTATGGTTATCGATAAATATATTTAATGTTAAAAACTTAATGATTGTGTTTACGAGAGACTCGGAGTGTACTGTCGGTCAGGCCACAGGTCATTAAAAATAGTACTCTTATTATATCAAATATATTATTACATTTACAAGGAGCTAAACTCTATAGAATGATTGTAATTTATAAATGTTATATTTGAGTTTATGATAGTATATTGAGTTGAAATAACGTTAAGGTACGTTTGAATAAGCAGAATATGAAACGTCTACAAATCGACGCGATTTTATTATATATAGCAGTTCTAGCAAAATGCTGCATGGGAATTTGAGACTTACTGCATCACAAAACGAAGATCTTCCTGGTATCCTGAAAGTATGACTTCTATTCGACTGACTGGATAACACTTTTTGTTCGGTGGTTCCAAGAAAATGTTATACCTTTAATAAAAAACTAAACTACAAGATGGAGGAAAATTTGAAAGAATCTTATTATTGACTAGGTGTTATCGACGCACTTTCACATCCATCAAAGGATATTGAAAATTCAATAGAAGTATCTAATAATAAATGTCATGTTTCTGCCTTAAAATGTAGCTATTTTATTACAGTCACTGCAGGTTGATATATGGCAACTATTTTTAATTTTTAATATTGTGCCTTATACATTTATATGATATATTAATAGATCATTTTTAATTACGACTACTATACTTTCGACAAATGTCGATTATCCGACCAAACGCGTGTATTTAACCTTCCCACTGTTCGTTCAATATTATACCGAACAATCTACGTCCCACTATACTCAAACACGCTTCACTTTATTCTAATATTATATGTTTGTTAGATTTCAGTAAATAATTACATGAACATTTTTGCTACCGTTAGATACGCATGAATTGGCATGATGGAATAATTGATAATTGTAGCAGGTAAGAGTGTAGAATGAAACTTCCATAAAAAATAATTAACCGATAAACTATCTAATGTAGTAATGTTATAAACCTATAAGGAATAGAAATAAGCATATGGCATACAGTTTAGGGTAACAGAAATAGCTGATAGAATATGACGTAATTAACAGTCTATGTATAAACATTTTATTCCAATCAATTAAAAAAATATATATAATTAATTAGTATGATCATTTTTTTTATTATATAAAAATCACTACCTAGTATTTAACTATGATAATTTGAAAATTACACTATAATAAAATATTGATTATTGTTAATTACAGTATACTAAATAAAAGTAGTTTATATTAAACAAAAGTCATTATAATATTTAATTACCACTGTCAGTTATTTCTGTCATACCCTTTATAATATCTATATTCAATATTATGCTCGTAAAAATAATGATAATACATTTTTATATTAGGTTACATATTGTATTGTATAGAGTTTCGTTCCATCCGAATTTTACAATTTGTTGTACACACATATAATAAGGTTAAAGGTTATAGCCATATGTTACCAAACATAGGTACGTATACCTAGGTATCGAATACAGCAGTCTCGTAGGTATTTCTAAAGGTGGGAATCAGTTAGTTAAAAAGTTATTTTTGCTGTCAAATTTTCAACCTAACTATTTGGCTAATGATCTAATTAACTTAATAATTCAACTATGGCAATACAAAATATTGGTATTCATTGTAATAATAATTTAGTATTTTCTTATTTATTTGACAAATAATTCGTTATAACATGTTTATGGATATCTATTATCCATAACGCTGTTTACAACTAATTAATCAATTTTTTTTTCGTTTAGTCGTGCTGTCTATTATAATAATTTAAAATAAAAAACTAATAAATATACATTAATTTAATAATTTAGTTGACATAAGCGAATAATTGTCTAAACCCCTTCAGTTACAGAGTGCAATAAAAAGGCTAGTATGAATTTATGATGAACTTTTAACAAAATTTTCAGTGATTAATTATTATTAAAAAAAAAAATGAAAGTAGCACAATCACTATATGTGACCCATGTGGATTGTTAAAAAAAATTAATCAAGGATTAAACAAATGGAATTTAATTAACAATTGTTTTGACATAGGTACCTACTATACCTATACTGTCCTACTATGTATATTGTATATTTCTATTTATATATATAAACGAATACGTATCGATTTATGATTTAAAGATATCCGACTAAAGTATTATACTATTGATATATTGATTGTAACCTACATACACTATAGTACATATAGTAATTATAATTTATAATTTTATGTGTATTTTATGTACCCATAAGTATACTTGGACATTGATACAGCCGGACCAGATTGGGATGGGCGCTTTTGGATGGAATAATGCCTCTATTTTTATTTGAACATCCATTTTCACGATTTTTAAAATGTTTAATGCAAATACGGTTCGCTAGTAGTTAAATAATTTTAGCACCCCTCGAACACAACTTCACATTGCTTGTCTAGCGGCGCCGATGTGTATAGTCATATTATGCGTGCATTGTATACGACGATATTGCTGGGCAATAGACTCGATTTTTAAGACCTGTGTACTACACACTACACACTTGATCTTAACATGAAAACTCGTTTTTATGACGGAATTGCGATCGTGCGTGGTTACGGTCACGGTCGCAGTCCGTGACCGACGAAACCAGCCGGCCTTGAAATTGGAAATCGTTGTTCACGGGCTAGAAATTGAGAATAACTTTGAGGGGGTTTCGGTGTTCGTTTTGGAAGGCAGCGGTTCTTTGAAATTTTTTCATGCTCACATTCTAATATTATTACCATCATTTGTATTATTATTATAGCTTATAGTTCAGCTGGAAATTGGGGCACGTGCTAGCTATTATTACTGTAATTTATTGTGATTAAGACGTAATTGTAATTTGCAATTGATTTGGCTGAAATAAATAAGTAACAACGGTTGCAGTGCAACGTGTCTTAACTCGTTCTCAAGTCACAACATAATATTATTTGTTCGTCGGCAGACCTGCGGATATCTTTCCTTTTCTCAAGACACAGATCGTAAGTAATACTCAATACTCGTCACATAATATAATTCCACGCATTTAATTGACGGACTGGACAATAGTGGTCATATCGCCGTATATGTTATAAAGTTATTACAATATTACTTGTTTCATATTACGACGATACTAATAATAATTGTATTGATCGATTGTCTATTTTAAGTTGTGAACAATTATTTTGAAAGGAATAGTTTTAAAAAATAATAAAGCTTATAGTTAATTTATCAAACAATCACTATTACAATAGTTTCATAATAATAATAATAATATGAAATTTAAATGATTTTTACGATTTGATTTGGGTGTTGCTCAAATATTTCCAAGAACCGTTTATCGAGAATTATTTATAATAATTTTAAAGTATAGCATTTAATGAGTTTAACCGTTTGAGTTTGATATCTAATAACAATCTACATTTTTAGAAAAATATAAACATAATCCTTTAAAAGTTTCAACCCAGGTGTGTACAGTTTGTAATGTGTACATAATATATTGTATATTATTTATTTAGTCATTGTAGTAATATTGAATTGTATGTTGACATAATATAAAAATAATTATGATTGACTAGATTAGTTTGCATTTATTTGTGTGCACATAGGCATATAATGATGGGCTAAGGGGGCTTTAGCTCCTCGTAACATGTTTAGATTATATATGACATGTACCTGTGACATTTTAGGCTATAGTTCCCTCATATAAATTCATCACACTACGCCTACGGGCGTGCAATGATGGCAAATTTATGACATCTATTCCTGAATTTATATTAACAATAAATGGCGATTTACAATTTAAGATAACGTTGGAAAAAGGCTGTATAACGCAGGTGTCGAGTAAGACGTGTTGGCAAAGTGACGATCAGACATTTTTCTAGCGAGATCTGAAAATATTCAATATTTATTCCTAATTATTGTATAATTTATGAACAATATTACTATCTTTTAAAAACACAAATGGTCAAATGAACCATCATGCCTCTTCTAGGTACTTATGGACATTGGGGTCTTGGGGATATTAATTGTCACAGAAATCTGGAATAATAATAATAAGGCGCCTCGGAAGTAGGTGGTATACCGTCGTACAATAAGGGTTGGTGTATTAAAGTCATATTTTAAAAATTGTCCATTTAACGATATTTTGGTAATACACATGTTTACGTGTTAGGCTAGTAGTTATGATATTTATTATATATACAATCCTATGGTCAAAGTGTTTGTTATTGAACTCCTCCAAAAGGGTTGAGAAAAGGTCATAAAGTATATTTCACTCTCCCACACCCACCCCGCCCAGTTTTAAATCGCGATTTTCATGTTTTTATACATATTTTTAAAATTTTTTGTTTATGTATATGGTTGCTATTGGTTATAAGAGAAATATAAATATGTTTAGTGGAAATTGGTATTTTTTTTTGCCATTGGTTAATCGGGCAGATCAGGCGTAAGCGTGCATCAACTTTAACTTTCACACATTGCCTGCAAAGGTGGCTGAGCTGCACTTTAGCCGCTCATCGGCTTGTCCGCAATCAAAATCAAAATAAAACGTAATATTTACAGAAAGTAAGCATCAAGAGGGGTCCGGTGCCTACCTGATAATACCTACACTGCTCGCATTATCACAAGCGAGTCTCGTATACCTAATAGAGTTGGCACGAAAAAATGAACATCAGAGTGCACGTGATCAGCTAGTAATAATACATTGATGTGAAAATTATAAATAGGTATCGGATGTAACGGAGCGTTTTAGGAAGCACAGAACTCAGGATTTATTTTTTTACAATATTATTATAATGTATACAATATCATGATTTACGAGACTCGAAACATTTCGTTATTATTGGCATGAGCAGTGGAGTTTAGACACTCAGTTATAGAATATAGGTAGTGTAAACTAATAAATAGGTGTGCACTATTATACTATTTTAGTAGGTATACTGATATTATTACAAATTATTAATGATTAATTTGAAATCCATCGACAAACAATGATAATTAGATTTTTGTTCCTGTCCCGTGCAAGTTTTTATATGCTTATAATAATGATCGCCTAAGTAGATTAATAATCGAAGCTATGGACAAATAAAAATAAGAAATACAAAATAAATAAAAACAATAAAAACAGATAACGAGCAGATAACAATAACAATTATCGATTTCGTTATTTTAATTACCTAGGTACTAAGTAAATTCAACTGTCAGAAAATTATGATTTTAATAATCAATAGTTTTGGACAGAGTTTTTTGATCGAGTATGGCTATACACTTAGATAATTTATTAAACTCGATTCGAAATTTAACTCAAAATTACTACAACACGTCAACGGCCAGCCCCAACAACAGCAACTTACGCACATTTGCGGATATAGGATTTAATTTTGGGGAGAGGGTTTGAACCCCTAACCAATGTTCCCTATATACGCCACTGCCTACGTATTATGTCATACTTACCGACCACTGAGGCAATTTTTATACAGCCGTTCGCCGACCGCCGGAACACGTGGTTCAAACCACCGACAAACATGATCATTTGGGCAGGGCAATATTCGCGCGTGGACGGACAATTTTATTTTTCTAAAAACTTACACTGTGGAAAACGATCATCGGTGGTAAAACTTAAAATATGATTTACTCATGTATTATGTCGTCGACCGTCACACTTATAGACAAGACTGTTACGTGACCACTTGTTGCGATGTTAAAATATGTATTATCATAATACTATCGTAGTTTTATTCATTGTTATTATTGCCCATTGTACGACGTCGGTGACGTGTTATCATATCGTATTGAATTTATAATGACTATGATATTATTTTTTTATCAATTCGCCTTATCTGGTACTTCGATTTGTCTTGTACCTACCAGCTCTGCCGGTATAGATAGCGCCGCGAACGGTTTAATTTTATTCGAGCTCATTTTAATTTAATTTTAAACTATTATAATTAGTTCTAAGTGTGAATGAGTACCTAGTATAGACCTGCAAGGGCCGGTCCAAAAAATACTGTGAAAAAAAACCCTGGCCCGGTCCGGAATATAATTTCAAGACTTAAAAAGTCCGGTCCAACCTTTTATTTTATTTTGAAGGCCCAGTCCGGTCCAATGTCACTACGGCCCGGCCCTTGCAGGTCTTTAGTACTTAGGAGTATAAGTTTAGTAGCATTACAAAAATCTAATCATTTTTTAATCGCTAGTCGCAATCGTTGTGAGCAGATCAAAAGTCAAAATTTCAGAACAAAAATTATTCATCAACGATAATTTATTCCGTTTTGTTGTCTTGTAATTTAATCGGACTCGGATTGGAATAAAGAAAATAAATACGATTATACTAGAATTTAAAAGTTTATTTTGAAACTATTTATTATTTGATATTTGTACAGATATAAATGCAGAGAACTCGATAGTTTTATGCCTTAATAGATACTGATGAAGTAGATACCTACCAAGCTTTTTTAATGACAATGTTTTAAAGTGTTCTGATAATTTCGATTAAATATTAATTTTACTTTATTGGTTTGACATACATATTCCTATAGATCATATCAACAATAATATAATAAACAGTGTTTAAAGTGCACTTTCATTCTCACTTGTATAGTATTCGTATCTTACGTTCGTTGTAAATACATTTTTTTTAAGTACTTTTTTTTCCTATTTTTTACTGATGGGTACGTTTATTGACTTCACTATCATATATTATAGCTTTTATCCGCTAAAATATTGTGCCAACGTTCATATTGTTCTTATATAAGTAATCAAACGACTAGTAATTTCATTTCATATATTAATTTGTGTTATTTTGTGTAACGGTGTGCAAGTATGATGCATATTAAATTGTATATATAGGCCACTTAAAAAATATATTGGTACTTTTATTTCAGAATACAGTTTTCAAAAAACAAATAACCTTCCGTTTTCTGTATGGATACCAATATTGAAATAATTTAGTTTGAAATCAATTTCAAAATATATACCGATACGATATGAGGTTTTCCAAACCGATCGGTAGATAATATTATTTGTATGTAACCTACCCTCTCTATTATTTATCTATTCTTTCAATATTATACTCCAACGGATAACAATATTTCAATACACATTTATTTTTCTTTAAATATGATATACATTATATTATACTCATATAGTGGAAATATAGTAGAATATTATTATAATAAATACAAATCCCGGCATAGAATTCAATAATAATAAAACAATATAATATTAAGTTGTTTTTTCGTTTTTCGTTTTTTTTGTTATTGCGTCGATAGATACGACTACAATAATACAATGATTTATTGATATTATTATGTTATACATGGCCAGTCAGTCGTAGCAGAAAAATAAATTGGCACGTGACTATTGTACCATCATCATGCTCACACACACACACACACACACACACACACACACACACACACAACGTGCATACTTTTTCGAGTAAATGTTTTTTACTAACATACTATTATAGATAGGTATTATACCTATAACCTTAAATATACCTTAAATATAATATACCTTCAACTATAATAGTACCTACGTTAATAGGTATACATTTACAACTTTCGTTATACGACCAACAATTTATCATGACCATCGTCCACGCTTATTTATTTATTTGGTTTCCGTTTTTGAGTTGAAAACGTATCAAGCCTTATTTACATTTTCACGTTGCCTAAAAGATATTTCAGTGTTTTCACGCAGTACCTATACGAATAAATGGGAAATCGCTTTGCCAAATTTGCACGATGTCCTGCAATGAGTTTTACATTGTTTTTTTGGACCGACATTTTTTCTCGCAAGAAAATAATAATTATTTTTAGTTATTGGTTAGTTCAAGTATTAATAGTATTAATATATATACATATATATATATTATAATATCAATCTCTGATATAATACGGGTGTTCGACTTTGATTTTCTAAATAGAAAATATTTAGATATGCTTATATATATAGGTACTTATAATCGATCGGATTCGATTTCCTGCAACCAAGCTGCGGGAATGATCGATAAATGCTTTGGTATTCACAAAGATGTGTGTTGTTATTTATTTTTGGACATTTTAGCGACCACCGTTGAGTTTTGAAGCAAAAAGAATATTTTAATCTTCAACATTGATAGTGTTTTTTGGTGGTTATACAAATTATTACTAGTTGGTAAATTAGGTCATCAAAAGAAAGTAAGAACATTTCCAATGGTTTTTTTTAATACTGGAAAAATGGTATATATTTATGCAACACTAGTTCTCGACTAAATAGATTTTGTTTTTTGAAAAAGTCCAATTGGGTGTGAATCCGGATGTTGGGATAACAGTTTTTCTGGTAAGCAAAAATCTAATTTTTTGTGGAAAGTGTTTTTGGAAATAATTCTAAAACTAATAAAAATCATGGATATTAAATAAAATTATGAGTACCTTATTTTTTAGCCAGCAAAACGCACCTTATTAGTTACTGAAAAGTGGTTTTTTTTTCATTCAGTCTATAAAAATTTCAAAATTGAAACACTTAATTAATGGGTAATTAAAACTTGTAACGCGAGTACCTATACGTGACTTTTATGTTTTTAAGTGTGTTATGTAATATCTATGTTATAGTAATATAATAATAGTGTTTTCTGATATCATACACAATAATATAATCGTATATTATATACGACTATTACATATGACTTAATAGGTTCGTACAATAGCGCACGTGAAAAAACAGTAAGCTATTTATTAATTTATCTAAAGTATAATATTTCCTAACAAAGATAAGACAATAATTTGTCATACAATAATAAGGGACCGTAAAATAAAATGAATTCATTTTACGTAGGTAATATCTCTAATCAGCTAACATATTATTATTATTTTCATATTATATAGCTGCAAGTTAACCGGTACTTGAATTTTATGAATGTTTATAATTGTTACCTCATACAGTCATAACTCATAACGACAATAACGTTAAAACATTTACAATCCCAATACGACGTGTTAAACATGCCGCCGTCGTGTAAATATTAAATTATCACTTTTTGACGTGTTAAACTGTTTTATAAATTTATCGCAGACGATTTCCGATTTATTACGTTTCACCGCAGCAAACAAGTGATTGCAAATGAAACAATATTGTGATGCGATCGGATAGTTTAATGATCCGTGAAATCAAAATCCTTGTACCCATAGTAGGTAATTTGTCCTTAAAGGTGGGTACATATCCGTGTCTGTATAATTGCACATCGTATAATATATATTATATTTACGTTGGTCTATTAAATGTTGTGCGATCTGTGGTATTTTCGCATATTCACAAGACCTATTATTACGCATCGCCCGCACGCTCGAAATGTTTAGGACTTGTTTTATAAAATAATTTTAGAACGGTGAAAATGCGTAGGCATAATGTGTATACACCAGATACCACATACCTATAGAGGGTGCCTCGTGAGGATTTATCAATTGCGGCATCTCTTGAAATAATGGAGATATAACGATTCTTGTTTTTTTATTAAGACTCACGGGGACAAGCACTGCAAATAACTCATGTTTTCATTTTTTTTTTTATGTATCGGTAAAAAAGTTAAAAACATATTTTTTTAATCAATTGTTTAAAAAAAAAAAAATTGAAGATAGCCATTTTGTAAAGTTCTTTTTTCTGAAAATATTGACGTTTCAGCGTTTTAATTTCATTAATCTCCTGATTTGTAATAATTTTTCTAGTTTCGAGAAAAACTGCGAATTATTTGACGCGTCCGTCCCGCCATAGTCGTATCTTTGAAATATATGGCCGTAGTCCATAACACTACTATAATAGTGGTAGGACGGTGTCAAATAATTCGCAGTTTTTCATAAGTATATATAAATTATTAAAAATCGGCAGATTAACGAAATGAAAATGTTGAAATGTCGATATTTTCAGGAAAATGAACTCTACAAAATGGCCAACTTCAATTTTTGTTTTGAAATAACCAATCGAAAAAATATGTTTCTTGACTTTTTTACCGAAACATTAAAAAAAAATTAAAACATGAATCATTTGTAGTGCTTGTCCCTGCGAGTCTCGATAAAACTAAAGCAGAATATTATGATATCTCCGTTATTTCAGCAGATATCGCAATGGGTAAATGTTCGCGGGATACTCTGTATAGTATAGGTCATTGAGTATATTATCTATCTTGAACGTCCTCGTGGTCTTACCGGACCGTACATAATGTTGCTCTTGAGATTAGGTCCAGACGCTTTTAATTAATAATGCCGCGGTGTTATTTTAATCCCGAGCCGCTCTCGTATTTTTATGAATCAATAAACCGAAAGTCCTATTCTCGAAGGGTCGATGTGACGAGATTAAAATAGACAGGTACCAATCGTAGACTGATACTCTTTCATCGGAGAGTTAATGAAATTCTTCAAACTTTAGGTCCATTATGCTCGAAATCTATACAATATTATTATACGTGCATAATATAATACATTCCATCTAAAATTCTAAGACTATGACCGGATCTCTGCATTATGCAATACTGCTTAATAGGTATATCTAATATATAATATATATCTTCTTAGACGTGTGCTTGAATAATAAATTAGCCAAAATAAGACGTGTACGTTATTAAAAGGAGCAAATCGTTATTTTGAAATCTCGCACCATTTATAAATTATTACCATTACGTTTTAACTGTAAATAATATTTTGCCGTGGTATAACGTACTGACGTGTGATGTATTCCCTATTAAATATTAGTATTTTAAACCGCGGCTTATAGGTAAATGTTCTCAGTTTACCTCGAAATCACAAAGGAAATTCACCAGGGTACACGCGTATACCGTCATCCGTGTTCCACTTTTTTATATTACCTATGCGGCCTTCCATGATTTCTCGAAAAGAAATACGAGATTCGTAGATTTAATATTATTGTAAATCTAATATGAAGTTTCATCACATTCACCGGAGGTTCCGTTCATCGTTCTCAAGAGGACGCAACATGTTGTCTCCGCCTTATAAAAAGTAGCAATAAGCATATTGAATTGCACATTGAAAATAATCAATTTTACTCTGTTATTCATAAAATTAGAGTTAATTGTGCGATTCAAAGGTCAGGTTATTATCCAGGGCGTCCCTGAGGCTTTTATTGATTTTTTTAAATTTACGAAGCAAGCTATATGCAAGCATGCGAGCATTTTAAGACTTGATTTTTTTTTTCACTCTAAGGCAAAAATAAAAGAAAAAAAGCCCCAGAGATGTGCCGGATAATCATATCGTCTTTAAATTGTATTCCGTGTCAATTCGCTGTAATTTTTTAAAAACAACCAAGTAAATTGGATTGTCGCGAATGTAATGTCGTCGTGACGTCGTACCTGCGTTCGCGACACAACTACGGGTGGCTTAATGCGCGTCGTAAACACTGATTCGAACACGGCACGATGGGCAATCGATTGCATCTGCGAACAGTGCCACTGAAATGGGCACATTGTTTTCCAGCGACCAAACGGCCCGTGTGCACAGCAGAGAACGCGCGGCGCAAATGGCGCGAAAAAGGCGTTTTTATCGCGATACGCGTCGTCGTCGCGAGATTTTACATCGCAAGCCGTTTGCAATCGTCGCAGTCGCAATGAACAACGACCATATATCTCGTACAGAACTTAACCGTCCGATGTCGAATCGCTTGTGTTCGGTGTTTCGTGGTACCTATAATATAGCTGCAGTGTGCCCGATGGACGCCAGCCAAAGGGTTCCATCCAACGGCAGGTGACAAGGCGTTCAGATTAAAAACGTCCGCGATGGAATACACTTTAATACTATCCCGACGCGACGATAAAATATCGTTTTAGCGGATTTTCCGGGAACGAGACGAACGCGACGAGTGTTGAGTACACGCATTCGGGGCCGTGTTTCCAGTCTTTGTGCCCTGGGTCAACCGTAATTTTATGCCCCCCCCCCCTTCAACCAAAAAATAGATTTACTCTTTTTATTTTTCTTAACACATTTTTAGTTATAATTCTTTATGGTCAAGTCGTGGTTACATCTATCTGTAACCGTGGTTATGGTAAAATAATACTAATTATATTCTATGCTAGGGGCTAGCACTTATCCGTTATCGTTGAACCGTTAAGTTCACAAGGGTCGAGTCGTAGTACAAATTTTTTCCAAAAAAAATAAATATCTATCGACACAGTACTACGTCAAGTTACCGCGGGAGGGCCCAGCCGCCCCTAAATAGATCAATATTTGGCCGCCCGGGGCAAATGTCCCCAATGATCCCCCGCAAAGACGGCCCTGCAGCACGCATTCATACGCGCGAGGCACCTTTGTGTAATTATAAAAAAACGATTCGTAGGTGTGAGCCGGTCTCCGGTCCGCGTGTCGACCGAGCCTTATTGTTTCAAGCGCGTGCAATATATTATTCCGATGGGAAAACATTCTCAACAGTTTAATTCGATATCACTTTTTTCGTTTTATTGTCGTTGAGATAACGAGTCGTAACGGTTTTCAAAATTTAATCTTTGCTATTCCGGACGTACGGCTGCATTCCCTGAATACCTATACCACGCGCGCAGGCCTATATATGTATAATGTATATATATATATGTTTCCACGAATATATCTTTATCTCATTCTCTATTTATCATTATCTGTTAAACCCAAATATTTATCAAACCTCATCGAGAATTTGTTATCTTATCGATTGACCGGTCGCCACTACTGCTTTATCTATCGCACGAGAGTACGCCGTGGCCGCCTCGCGATGGGTATAAAAGGCCCAAGCACCGGTCAACCCGATATCATTCACTGCCTTTTCGGCGCCGGAGCAAGACCTTCCCAGGCAGACTTGCACGCCGGGTCTAGGACACTTCGCCGCCACCGTTTCGTGGTTAAATATACCACCACAACTCGTACCAGAATATACCAGAGATTCAGCAGTGACACCACCAATACGAAATAATTTACAGTGATGCCTCGTTGGCGGCACGTCTCGGCTCCGTCGCTCCGCTTCGCAAATCGAAAATATCCCTCGACTTGCTATGCAACACCACCTAAAGTTGGTCACAGTGTAACGGCTGCTATACCATAGTACAACCACTCTTATCATTCAAAAGCTTATCACTACCGAAACGGTGGCGGCGAAATGTCCGGACTTGCACGGCTCGAAAGGTAGTCTCCCTCCAGGCCTCAACGTGCGGTATATCTACAATCCGTGATGCAATAGTCGGAGTAATTCGGGCATTGTATTGTCTCATACCACCCGTTCGAGTCCCATCAGTAAAATTACATCTTGTTATTGTCTTCGAATATGTACTAATAAAAACAACTTTTCCGATACCAATCGTGTGTATTATAACTATTTACACCAAACCATCGATACCAATCGTTCTACAAATCTCGAGGTGTCAACAATATATGACATATGTATATGATGATACAAGGTCAGATGATCGCGGATAAATATAATACGGCATAAACGACACGCAGGTACCAGTTATTGCGAAGTAGTACCTATAATAATATGTCGTATTAATATATTATGCGCACATGACAAGATACTTCCTGGTTTGTGTCGCCGGGTTAAAAGTCCGCGACGCGCCATTCGTAACCGTTTTTCAATAATATGTTGAAAACACTAAGTCGGTAAACGTTGCAGTGCTCAACGGTACTCAACTTATAAATCGCTCAAAGCAATGTAATATATATATAATATATATATACCTGGCGTAGCGTCCTCAAGCGTGACTGGTGAGGGGCAATTGGGGCCTTCGACAGGTATAAAACTATTTCAATACGAATGGCACGTATTTTATGAGTACAATATGTATATAGTCCATTAATTTTTTTGTCCACGTAAGTCGAGACCTGCAGACGGCAAGTAAAACTCAAGACTATTATGTTGAATGCAAGTGCGTGTTTTAATATAATTCATAACTAATAATTATAATTTTAACATGATTTGACTTAATATCGGTACAATATGTATTCATTCGTATACGGTACATTTCTAATAATAATTTGTAAATAATAGTAAAGTTTTTTTTTTTTTTTTAAACATATCTATAGATACACACGTGCGCACTGTGAATATACAATCGATTATTTTATACGATACTCCTAGACGACATAATCCTTGCAGTGTTTGGATAGGCGAGTAGATGCATAAAATACGAATCGATCGACGTGAACAACAACAGCATGAGGTATAGGCGCAAAATAAAATGTTTATAAATAAATAGAATTCGTCGAATGAAATTGTATATTGTTTGAATTTCGTTCATTCGAGTGTACTGGTGGGCTGTTGTATTTGTCGTATAATTAAATTCGAGCTCAAGCGATCTTTTCGAAAGGATATTCTGGATGATCGGTGATTCTGAAAAAATAAAACCATAACCGTATATTACATAATTATAATAGCAGTCAATAAATTAAATATTAATGTTTGGGTCAATAAATATTCGAGGTTTAGGACGTGCCGAACGATGTATAGTTATAGTGTGTCCGTGTGCGAACTGGACTAACGAATAATATAAAAAAATATTATTGAAAATCAGATAATCCACACGTCGGGCTCTTTGGAGCAGGAGTGCAGGACAAAAGGCTTTCGAACAACTTTACGTCCCATAAAGTTTGTTCACAAATATTTCGACAAGTTTGGAGTGCACCATCTGGTTGTATGGAATTTAATCTATGATAATAAAATACAACTTACCCTTTGAAGAACAAAAGCCAAATGATGCGGCCTCCTTCTCCGGCGTCTTGGCCAATCAGGGCCTCCATGTCTTTCTCGTCCAATTTAAAGTCGAAAATCTATCGGAAAAAACAAAATCAATTACAACTATGAGTAGAATCACTTGGTTATAAATTATAATATATTATTATTATTATATGATAACGTTCTATAAATGATTTTATTTTTCTAAACAACGCGAAATGTCATAACACTTGATGGTTATTGATGTACGAGGAACATATATTGTAAAACAATAAAAGTGTGTGCACCTGTATATTTAACGCCAACCGCTGTGGATTTGTACTTTTTGGAATGACCGCGATGCCTTTCTGGACAATAAACCGCAACAAAACTTGGGCCGCAGTCTTGCCATGTTTCTCCGCAATGCTCAACACCACGTCGTTTTCCAACATTTCTGGCAATTCTTTGCTATAATATCAACACAAACACACACACACACACCCATCAATAACAGGTAATTAACAACGTCGTTATCGCGTAATTTTAAAATATGTCACACGACAATGACGTTTTATTATTTTATTGCCATTATAATAGTAAAAATATCATTATTACGTCCAATTCATGCCCAAGACTTCCCGGCCGCCCTTAGCGCCCAAACACGAGTACGCGGTCACAGCGATACCGTTGCTCTTGCAAAATTCGATGAGCTCGGGCTGTTGGAGGTACAGGTGGTTTTCCACTTGCAAGTTGGCAGGCTTGATCTTGCAGTTGTCCAGCACCCTCTGTATCTGTTTAACGTTGAAGTTCGACAAGCCGATCGCCTTTGCTCGGCCGCAAGCCACCTGTTTCTCCATCACCTATACGAAATATCACAATATACGTCAAGCCACACGCGTCGTCCCCACATAATAATAAACTTCGATTCCGCAACTTCCACAAGTCCTTCGGACAGCGTATGCAATACACGCAAATCCTCCACACTGCGGACTTATTGCGGAGCGTTTACCGTCGGCCACAACGCCGTTCTATACTACCTCCCAAATCGCCAAGTGGTCCGTGCTGGGATCGATTTTCATCTCGCCATAGGCGGCCGTGTTACCAGTGGTCACGCTGAACGGAGTGTGCACCAAGTACATGTCGACGTAGTCCAGTTGCAAGTCTTTGAGCGATTTTATTAAACACCCCTCCAGGTCCTCAGGCCGATTCTTGAAAGGAGGGAGCTGCAAACGGTGTCACATATGGGTTTAGGTGCAGTCTATGTGTTTTATATTTCCCGTGGCGTTTGACTCTATTAACACCAGGGATCGTCAACATACAGGGCGAGTCTCGGGAACAGGGCCGAAAGTAGTGTTAATTCTATATATTTTTGGTCCTTTTTCCGTGGCCTGCCCTGTACGAATAAATATGTCTGTACATGTCGCGTAAGTACCTTGGTGACGATAAATAACTCGTCTCTAGTCACTTTGCCGGACGTTATCCATTCGTTCAAAACTTTTCCTATGACGTGTTCGTTGTTGTAAGCCGTGGCCGTGTCGATGTGCCTGTACCCACTCTTCAGAGCTTCGTTCAAGGCCTCTTCCAAAACATTGTCCAAAGCCTAGAATGATTGAAAAATAAGTCATTTTAGTCTTAACAAACGATAGGTAGTTAAACCGATTTTAAGGTCGATTATATACATTTGTAAGTATACAAATACGCGGTGCGAATAAACGTGAATACTATCTATTTTTTTTTTATTATTTTTTTTTTGTCTATAATGCACAGTACAAACGGCGGCGTTATATTTGTACAATATTATTATCCTGGTGGTTATCAGCAGGGATAAATATTGCATTTTGTCGGCGCACAACAAAGTACGTTTGACGGTTGATGTTTTAAAGATCAACACCAAAATGCTAATCAATACAGAATAATATGCACAAGACGTACCTACATACAACCTACCTATGTACCTAATCTAATATATTATAATGTTGTTACACATATTAATATGTTAAACACGCACTAACACTGGTTAGCCAGTGGCTGATACAAGGAAGGCCGACGAGCTCCCCCCTGTGGGCCGATTAAAAAGAAAAAATGTGCCAATTGGTCTAATGCGTCGTAATATTTCTAAAATTAAAAAAAAAAATAATAGGTGCGGATTTTATATTTGGAGTATTGGAGTGTATGGTATCCATGCAGAGTTGTATTGAAAAGTCTAGGAACTTCATGATTTGAAAAATTACTACTCCCTTCACCCCACCCCCACTACCACCACTTGAAATACTTCTGGATCCACTGTTTAGCTGGTGGTAGTGGAGCATTGCCATTTTCGTAATGCCTGGTCGTCCGCGCCCTATAAGCTAATCGTCGTGCAACTCACCGAGACTTCGCAGGATGCACGACCTGGTACGACCTATTGACACTCGATACGTATATTTGGTACAACAATTTATGGATACTTTGTTATACTCATTGATATATTATTGCACGTGCCATAATGGGTGGTTGGCCCGGATACATGTGTATAGGGTCGCATGTTCGTTCTGATGTATACACCGTGGTCGCTGCGCGTTGAGGAATTGCGAAAAAGACAACAGTTTACCCACGTGGGTAGTTGAAAATTACAATGGTTTCGTAAGCGTTTTTGAACTTCTCTTTGTGACGTGGCATCATACATGACGTGCACAAGTGTCGTCCCAATCGTCCGACGGAGTTTGCCAGCCCTGGGGCCGGGGGCGACTACAAAATCGATTATTCCACACCTGCAGTGGGCACCCCCGAAGGAATGCAGAAATTAAATGTTAAAAATTCGTAAATAGAAATTATAAACAGAAAACGAATTGTAATATTGTGTACATCGAAATGTCAATCCAAAACGATTACTTATACTCGACTGCTAATAGTGATTAGTGATCGTTGTTCGTTTTAAATGTACCTACTTGCTTTAAGTTCTGACAATTTACTGAGTCTAACATTGTCGTGTTAAAAACAGACGAGTTTGAAACATCATCATTTCAAAAACAAATGTTTAACATTATGGTCGAAATTTAAATATAAAACTTTTTGTAAATTCTAAAAACAAAATTGAACTAAAATGATTAAAACGAGAATAAAAGTTTGTTTGATTACGTTTATAATAAAAGCTCTAAAAAAATGTAAATAATATTTTTAAATAGTTTTACTTTTACAGCCGTCTAAAATATGTTAGCTTGTTTCAATGTTAAAACGATTACACAAATTTTCATAAATGAAACACTAAAAACCGGCAGACAACGAAAAATAAGCAGAAAATGTTGGTCTATATTTTTATTGTACTTACTCTGCACTGTATATACGCAGAGTTTCAGACTTATTTCGTCCGGAACATATCTGTTTAATGAAAATGTGCGATGCGCAGGTAATATATTTTATACCTACACCAAAATTAGTTTTACCGTCGATGGTTAAATTTTAAGTGATGACAGTAAATAATTTTCTAATATCTTGTCAGACGAGTGCACCACAATATATTATAATATCACAACAGTCGTTTGTTTTTTTATTCACACATTGCCTTACGCCATACTTAGTATTTATTTAAACATAAGCATAATATATTATTACACACACAGTTTTTGGAATAAAGATAAAACCGAGAGAAATAATAAATGCCGTGCAACTAACTTGCAAGTGCGTAGCAAACTATTGGTACCTATTGCAGAAAAGTATCTTCTGTCCTATAGATCTACCCGACATCTACATATATTAAGAGTCCGCGAGAACTGGAGTCACCATTTTGAACTGCAGTAATTATTATTTATTACGATCCGTTAAATGTCGGAATATCTATCGAATTTTTGAACACAGTACCTGCCTGTATAACAATTTATGAGACGATGCGCTTGTAAGACGAGTTGAACGTTAATAAAGTACAAAGAAATTCCGAGAAAATACCGTCATAGTAATACTCTATATATTATCCACAATAATATCCGACGTGGTGTAGTTAGCATGACTACATAGAAGAACCGATAGATCTTAAACATCCCCAACACTATAATAACTGGTATTTTTGATGTGATTCTCGAGTGCGAGCCTTTGAACGATTTATTGCTGCATATATTATTATAATATTATGATTATATGTATATCACACGGCGAAACACTGCTTAGTATTATTTTTAGAATTCATATATTTTCACTCGGATTTAATTGGAAAGCGGATCTTACTCTGGAGCAGGATACCGCCCTTTCCGGCGTGTGTCACATAAATTGTGTCTGAGTATATTGAATTCGAGAGCGATGATAAATCGTAGTTTTCGAAAAACTATTCCAAGTATACAGTTCGTTTACGAGCCACGCTCGCTTACGTTTCTTCAGCACTTCGTTGTCGTTTTTCCTTGTAATTTTGACGACAAACAACGAACCAATGATAAAAGCCAGAAAATTGATTTCTTAGAAGTTATAGAGTTCCGACAAGTATGACTTTAAACCGTTGATGGATTGTGATAATTGAGCAGCGTCTGCAGTCCGCCAGAGTGCACAGAAACTGATGATATCATAATAATAATAATAATAATAATAAAAGTCTGACTGGCGTGTACATTTCATCAATTTTCAGTTACTTAGTGGATTTTTGGGTTGGATTTATGGACATGTAAAATTGTTTGACCTGTTGAAAAAACGTTAACTCCACGATATTATATAAAAAAAAATAACATTCAAATTGTATGCACAAATTATACGTGGAGATGTAATATAGGAATGTACAGTAAAAATAAATAAATTTGAACTCAATTTTCTCGTGTACAATAAAAATTTAGATTTTAGAACCATTAATATTGTCGTTTTAGGGTTTCTTGGAAAAAAAAACTGAAACCTAGCGTGCTACTACAGTTACTACAGTAAACGTAGTAGGATGCTTCTGCTCGATGTTTTCTTCACTCCATGGAAAAACAATGAATCATTGATACGACTTGGCTCATCTTTGACATTTAGAATTCCATTTTGAGTATATTTTTGTTCATCAACCGTCGACGAACTGAATAGCGAACCGATCATAAACTGCTCGAATTTTCGACGTTCGTCTGTGGTGTGTTTACATTCACGGTAGATAGGCTTTCTGGAGATCAGGATGATTTGAAGTCATAATAATTACAAATTTTAAGCAACTTTATTTATAAAGATGAGTTCTTGTGTATAGCTTTAATGGCTAACGAAATTTGACTATAAGTAAAATATTTGATAGAAAAAAAAAAATGTATTAACAAGTTTGATATGGTAACGTAATATTTTATTATGTTACATGCGTCATTTGCTAGGGAGATCTGGTAATATAACTCGAAATTGTTGAAAAGAAAAATGTTGTACTCAGCCCAAAAACTATTCTCTATGAACATATTTTAGTATTATATGCTTTATCAGAAAACAGAACGTCAACTTTACGAAATATGCACAGTAGATACTTAAATATGCAGCATCATAATCTACACAATAATAATATTTAGAAATGCAATAAATAAAAACGATAGCATATGCCGTTGAACGCGTTGTGTTTAGCCTTAAATTGCGACGGAAAATGTATTAAATTACATGGTACTCAAATTAAGTTTTGACTTTAAATGAAAAAACAAAAAAAAAATAGGTTAAAAAATAATATCGGTGGATTTCCCGTTCATTTTACCCTTCGTAATAGTTGGAACCAGTGGAATTTACCAGTGTGTTTTGTTACGGGTAAAAAATCATACCGCGGTAGCATTTGTGCACGCACACAAATTAATATACAAAATCGATTTGGATACAAATTTATGATCGATGGAATTTACAATCTCTTCAGAAAAAAAAAACATTTCTGCAAAAGCATTAAAGCCGCGATACGCCTTCATTTCCAACCCTATACGCTACACGCTTTGCTCTGCGCAGAACGTCAAACAATAAATTAATAAATTATACTGTAATAATTGTTTCAAAACCGTTCTATTAAATAACGCGTATATACGATCGTATACTATATACCTGTGCACTACACGGGCAGCGTAGTCACTTAAATTCAAAATTCATTACACCGTACCTACTTGATGAATAACTGCAGCAGCTAAGCTTTAAAAAATGTAATTTAAACTCACTTTGTCGTATTGTATAATCGCGAGAATATAAATTCGTACGCCTCGACCGTTTTATGACAATAGATAAATACAAACAAAAAAAACCGTACAAAGTAATTTTTTTCCCTGATTCATTGATTATATGCCTATTATATGATTTTTTTATGCGAATAAAAAATATGTACTCCGATCGTATTGTTGCAAGCCTATTACACTTCTACACCCGTGTGTACCGTGTGTGAGTGAGGGTTAACCCTTCATTATATAGATAATATAATATTATTGTTACTGTCGGCATCATCATCATTCACATTGTCAAAAAGCGGTAAGTGGTAACTTTAAGATTACCTACCGAATTAATATTATTATGTTAACACACAATGACCTATAAAACAAAAAATATGTTGGTCATAATAATTACTGTAATTTACTGTATATAGATATACCGAGGTCATGTGCAGATATATTTTACGCTTTTAATTGTTTTTTTTTTTTTTGACTATCAAGGTTTGATATTTATTTGACATGACGTATCGCATTACAAGAGTTTCATCGATATAATGTATATTAATTTTTGGTTTAAAAATGTACAGTCAAATTCTTAATTTAATGATAAATAAAATAGTAAAACTGAAATTATTTTAATGATATGATATTATTTAGAGGATTAGTCCGTGTCTTGTACTATTTGGAACGTTAAGTTAGGCATTGTCGCGGGTGAGTGAGAACACCCAAAAATCACCAAATAGTTAATATACCATTAACAGTATAATATATTGCCATTATACAGGCCAATTAACAAAAGGTATATGAATGTGAGTCGTCTTAATCTTAATTTAAATGTCATTTAAGCATTCAAACAAAACAATTTTATTTTGTGATTTTATATTCAAGGTATTAAAGAAAGAATGTGAACATATCATATTGTTACGTATATCTAAGGGCATAAAAAAAAATTCATATCTTGAAACCCACTGTTTCTTATGGGATTTTAAATGTATCAAATCCAACAAATAGATAAGATGACATCCGGATTAAAAAAAATCTACATAGTACACCTGTATACCTAATAGTATTTTATATAATTATTTACTAAGTATATGAAAAATTTCAGTCGGTGGCCGCTACTAGTAATTTGATTAAACAAGATGAGGCAATAATTTCTGTTATGTCTATGAGGTCTAATATTGTGTCGGCCAAAAATGAAATATTTTGATTCATCATACCCAGTCATTGTCATGATTGCCTATAGGCGTGGATGTAAATGATCTAATTGCAAATAAAAATAACTACGTATTTCAATGTCAAATTAAAATGATGATGAATTTTTTTTCTATTAAACATCAATGAGAAACGATCATTTCTAAAAATACCTATATTATGTTACTCACCAGTTTGTATAACAATTATTATACAAACGAGATATAAAATACAAATTATATAAATTATTATTTATTTAGATAAACGACGAAATTTAACAGCAAGATAATTGAACGTAATAATATGAACGATTGGTCTTGAAAGAATAGTCCGTTTGGCTTGAAGGTTTTTTTTCATAAGAACTTGACTCAGTATTATCGCGATCGTTTCTTCGGTTATGTTACATGGTGCGGTTTGATTTTCCAAAAACACATGCTGTCAGGCCACCATGCTCGATATTAGTAAGATAAATATATGTGTAAAATACTAAAATGTCAATTTTACTGTCAATGTAACTCGTCGATTGATCGACAATTGTTCAATAAGACGCTTTTTACCACTAATAATCAAAATATTATCGTACTCACGTACGATTCTATACATTTTGGTGTTTGTAATCAGCCGCCTGTAAAACAATTTTCGAATTTTTTGCTTTGAGAGATTCTTTTGTTGTATATACTCTGCTCGACTTAGGAATGATCCCTTATCGTTTGCACTTATTGTAGCAGACACTATTGACATTCTTAAATTCATTATTAATTATGTTCAACTTCTTTTTTTTTCCCCCATTAGATAGGTTTCACAAGCGACGGTTGTGATTTTTCTAGAATTTGGATCGTTGTATGACCTTGAGATGATTATAGTGTATTCACTCACTGTAGTGGTTTCTGAATAGGTTAGTACCTAATTTGAACTGACCACGGTACTTGATGACGTCCAGTCAAATAGTCTCCCATTGTAATATTTTTAGTAGCCACTAAGTCCAAACTAAATTGTATGCGCTCCGCATTGCTTACAAACGAAGTAAATCCAACTTTAAACGACCCGTTACATATGAGATAAAATTATAATTTGGATAATGGCGACGAGAGATCATATTCGGCATCGTAGTTTAGTATGTTTAACTTAAGCTGTACACGATTAGGAAATACTCATGGCAGTAAATTATGTATAGTTGTCTATAGCATACCATATCAAGTCTACGATGTCAATTAATATGAATATTACCATTATTTTCTAAAATGGCTTCTATATACATTTTTGGAAATATTTGAATTTACATCAATGCCTCTAATACCTGTACAATATACTATTCTGTGCCACTCTACGTGTACTTCAAATGTTTGGAATTAGTTGAAATAAAACAATTAGTAAAGTTATCTAATATGTTTATATGGTATAATATACTATTAATATGTTTATTTATATATTTTATACAATACAGCGAACAAACATGCTTCAAACGAAAACCACCGCCTTTTTACTGTAAATACTATTATCAGTATAATAATTATTAGGCACTTTAAATTTTAATGTTGCGTAATATATCGAAATTCGAACAAGTAGTTTCTGAACTGTTTAGTTTTATGTACTAATGATAATATGTTTAAAAATAATATTTTTTAGTGAGATTTGAAAATTATTGTAATAGTTAATACTTTTATTAATAATGACTAGGTAGTATTTTGTATACTGTAAATTATTTGAGTATACTAGTATGAGTTTAACTTATGACGTGATGTAATTGATATACATTTACACTATATATGTTTTGTTATAATATACATGATATATTTATGTTATAACTATGATTAATATTTATACGTTTTTACTGGGTATGTGAAGGCTCGCACATTAAATCGGCGTGGCGATGCCAATAAGTCTTAGACTCAATGACGTATTCCATTTTATCCACTATGTAAAACCATTATTAAGGATAATCTTTACCATCCTTAGTAAACACATAATTCAATAACTCTGAAACTGTTGGTTTAAATATTGATTTAAATACATCAAAATGTTCAAAAAAAAAATTCATTTGTTTTGCAATTTACAGTAAAAAAGATGTGGAGTTCTTATTGAAAAAACGAAGTCTATGAATCTATGGGAGTACGGGACACTCCTTAAATGGTATATAAAGGTCTAGGTATCTGAAAATATGGTCTACGAGTATGCTAAAAAATTCCTGGAACCACAATTTGAATAAATGCGTTATTATAAACAAGGGTAGGTAAAACTCCAGAGTGAGCATGTAGGTGAATCGGCCTGTAAGTGTAATATGATATTGTATGATACAGTATAGTGAAATTATTATTTCTAGTTAACTACGAGAATAGTGATTTACTCGATTGTTCAACGTGCGTTTTTTTATACCGGTATTTGTTTTGTACCTACATCTTCGTCGTCACTGCGTTCCATCTGAGTTTGTAATAGTAATAATAATAATACATTATTGTTGTCGAGTTAGAGTGTTGCCACACACAGGACGAAACGCATTGAAACAATACAAATTAAATATAATATCGCATTACATCATGGATAAATCGAATGCGCCTAGGTGTTTTTATATTTTTGACTGGTTACCGTAATACCGCGACTAACACACATAAGGCTGGACTCTATAACAAGGTAATGCGAATTCGCGAGTCGAGATAATAATAATTATGACTCGAAGAGTTGAATAGAATTTCGTATCGAACCCGACAGCGCCAAGTCACTCGATACATTTTACTGTAGTCGCACCTACACAGTCTACAGCTGTATTGTTGTAGGCAAAATCACTTGAAAACAAATTTTCTCTAATCGACGTGGACAAAACGTCGTTTTAATGAAATAACAATTCAACGTGGTCGTTTAAAAACGAAACGGATCGCAGCAGCTAACGTTATCATAATGTTAAGCTTTCCAACCCGGTCAAAATCGTTATTCTTTTTACTCGCCCAGCCCCGTGTGTGCGTGCGGGTAATACGACGTTGGGTGTGTTACAATATTATTGAGTCGTGTTATTCCGATCGTCAGACTCACCTGCCATGTACCATAGCCGACTATCGGCATGCTGCCGCCGGAACTCAACTTCAGGTACTCCATAGTGTGCAGTAGTCGTTTGTCTCTGGATAAAAAATAAAATAAAAATAAAAACAATATTTTATTAGAATAAACTATTGTGTGTGTATTGTGCTCGAGCGGACGGACCGGCGACGACTGCGCCGATTTGTGTGTACCTGACGATTACCACGGCAGCGGTCCACGCGACGTTGCTTATAATAATATGCCTGCGGTCTCGGGAGGCTTCTGGTAGTCCATAGGTAGGAGAAGATATTATTATGTCGTGTACACGCATTATATAGTAAATATTAATATCGCCAGGTACGATCCATTATTATTATTATTATTATTATTATTATTATTATCATCATTATCGTAGTTGTTGTTATTATTATTATACGGTTCGAAGAGCGCGAGTGTCGACAGTCGTAACGTTCTCGGCTACACAGCTACACCTGCAGCTGCAGGGCCCGTACAAAACAGAATAATTAATAATATTCTATTGTATTTAATAGCCGAAAACGCCCGATCAAACGCCTGTGGATTGTGTATGCCTATATGATAGTTGTAGGTACCTATTAATCTATTATTATTCCACCAAGTATATTAATAAGTACGCGATATCATGATTATGCGAACTTGAATCGAATAAAAATCAACGGATATTGTTGTAAGCGAAACCACCGACGAATTTGATAGCGTAGAATATTGTAATATATCGAGTTTTTTCGGTCCTCGCAGACATTATAATAGCACGTTTGATCGATCTTATATTGAACATTCGGTTGATTACCGTTAACAAAACTAATGTTTAATGACAATTTATAAAATATGATTTCCATCTAAAATCTAAATAAACGGCATAAAGATACGGAGTATAATATACATAGAATATATAGGTATATTATATTATATACCTTAAAGCGAAATAGTTAAATATATAATAAATACATATTTTTTTTATTGATCTCAAAAATCACAGCGACAACAAAGGCCATTAGTTACAAGCAAGTTATGAATTGTGAAGGTCAGCCACAAAGATAGGATATATAATTGAGTTACATACCTATTTTATAATTATTATTGTAATGATATTATTTAGGTAGACCACAGACAATATAGTTTTATATTTTCTGCAAACAATTAAAAAAAAAAGTCATACAAGCACTAGTTGTTTTTAATTCTGTTTTTTGAAATACATTTTTTGATGCTCCTAAATAATTTTTATCTGGAACTAAATAAACTTAATTTTTTCTTCTTAATGGCGAATTTTATTAGATATCATGGTGTCATGAGATACTCGATGTTTCTAAACGTTTAAAATCACAGTATTAAATAAATAATAATATTTTTGATAAATTATTTTGAAGAACATTTTAAAACAGTGATATTCGGGTCGAAAGGGTATAAAGGCGGGTTGATAACGTGATGTCGTATAAATATTTTAACGAGGAGAAATAAATTTAAAAAAATAAAACCTCAATTTAGGAAAATATAATACCTAATGACAGGGTTAACAAAAATCGATAACAAGGTCAAGTTTTATCAAACAATCTGACGATCATCCCATATTAGTAGGTTAATATTATTTTTAAATATATACCCACGTCCTACACAGGTACAAACAAATGCTGAGAAATATTTTTTTCAAATTAGCTAATTTGTTGCATTTAAATTTCATTACCTAATAAATATAAAGATTTTCACTTACATAATAATAATATATTGATTTAAGTTAACCACCGAATAAGTCAAAGTCGTTAAGATAAATTAAAAGCACTGCAACAATGAACAATTTATCGGGTCATTAGGAACGCAATTTATTTCTACAATAATAGCATATTGGTATGGGCACCTACGCATGTAATAAAATCTTGTACGTTTAATTTAATTTTTAACCGTTGCTGTGACTTACATACATTTATGCGATTAACCGTATCTGGATATTTTATGACGTGACTTACAGTCTCCCAAACGGGGGTATTTCTTTTTCAAAAAACTATAGTATTGTAATGATAATTGTACTATACCATATTGTTGCAATGGACAATTAAGGAATTTCATAATTAATAGACAGATATTTTATCGTGAGGTATAAGCAGTTTGCTTGGATATTAAATTGGATATATTAAGTATCTCAAGAATATTCACGAACATAGATTGTCGACGGTCCAAAAATAACAAATATTTATAATTATGAAATAACATACAATATCTATATTAATGCCCGAGTGTAATAGCATGTATTAATTATACGGTAAATGACGTTAAACGGAAATTATCGTTATTCGCCTGCAGCGACGTTGAAACGCACTGGTAATATTATTGTCTTAGACGAGATGTGTATGTGAATCTCAGATTCCATAATTCGAAAAATAACGTAGATACATCAATCATAACACTAAAAACTGAAACTGAGCATTATTATATTATCATTTATTCATTTTCACAAGTTTTAGCGTCGTGTCATTTACTGTTACACAACTTTTCAGCCCCGCGACAGGCACAACGTTTATTGTTGCCACTAGTCTTGTATAGTCTATTGCCGGATCACTGGCGATTGCGACCCAGGCACAAGTAAATGATTTTTTCCCTATATTTTCTGTGCTCCGATTCATCCTAATGTTGAAGTAAGGTGAGCGTTAAATACACTTCCCGATTAAACACCTTTTATACCTTTCCAGTGTTACGAGTCGGATAGATATATTATTTTTCCGACATTTTCCACGTTCCGATTGCGTCCGATAGATTATGACATGAATAGTCATGGTTAGTATTATAGTAATTATATTGTTTTCCAAGTGATGTTCAATAAATAATACAAAAACAAATGGAAATCTGTCAAAAAATATAAAATGTATTGATCGAAAACAGCACTTACCGTTCGTGGATACAATGTCCGTAAGCTCATCAAGTGAAAACCGCGTCTAAACAGATACGCACACCATCATATGAGCCAAACATACTACGTGCATTTAACGCTTTCCTACTATAACCCGGGACGCAATTGGAAAGCAGAAAAGGTCGGAAAAAGATCGTTTACCTATCTGACTTGCGGACGCAATCCAAACGGCTGCGTACGAGTTGATTCCCGGGTACCTGTTTACCTGCACCGACACCGTTGAGTTGATTCCCGGGTCATTAGAGGGTTCGTACGAGTTGATTCCCTATTGTTGTATATAAATTATCAATAGATTGCAAGAGTAAAGAGTTTGACCGTCACACACAACTGGCTCTTATATCCACCGAGACCACAAAAAAAAAAAATTTAAGAGAAGAGATGTCACGGTATACTGGTAATCTCATTACCAGATACCAATTTTATAAAAACAATGTGTTACAAATTTTTACCAAATTACTAAATTTTTTTATATTTTTGTACGTAGTTACTACTAAATGTTTTTAATAATAAAATAATTCAATAAATAATTAATAAATAAAAATTGAATGATTTTTAAAATATGAAAAAAACTAAAAAAAACAACATTTTTGAGAAACTTGTCAGCCAACCTCCTCGTGGTGTTTCTTGGGTTATGTTAATAGGCTGAATATTTTACTAAATATTGAATAAAATATATAATGACCCGGGAATCAACTCGTACGTACTTCTTAATGACCCGGGAATCAACTCGTACGTAACTCTTAATGACCCGGGAATCAACTAATACACGAGAAAGGTCTCGGGAATCAACTCACTTATTGCGAGCAAAACACTGAAAAGATATAAAAGGTTGAAATGGGGCGCACTCGAATGACGCCCAGTCCTGTAATGGCAGTGCAGGAAACCTTGAAGGGCCACAACAGTAATATTACTAGCAATAATTCGTCGATTATCGATCGCCTTATCTATCACTGCTCGTTGGAAATCTATTTTGTGTTCAACATTTCCCATTTCACGTGGTTATTAACTAGAAAATAACGACAATTCCCATGATTGTAGCCAAATACCGTAAATAGCCGGAGAATATCTAACGTTATTTTCCGGTATAAAATCATTTACCGTGACATGTATGTAAAAGAAGACGACGTAGCCGACTAATCAACGTGCAGCCAAAAATATGATAACTATACTCTGTTTAGCGAGAGAACGCAGAAAAACCGTAGTTCCTCTAAGGCAGGGCTGTAGAAAGCATGGAAGGCTGGGAAAGCACAGAAGAACCGATGTTGGTCTGGCCGCGGTGCGTTCTCTCGCTGAACAGAGTATAGAGACTTGACATTTACATGGTATTTTCATACAGCCACGTGTAAGGGTATACTAAGGAAGAATTTTCCAAAATCAGTATTTTGAATACCTTGATTTGTGTTGGATCGCGTAAAAAGAATGTTTTATTTGTTTGTACAAGGTCATTGCCATTGGGTACAAGATAGAAATTTAAGATCTGTATTTTATATTTGATCAAAACCGCCCTAATGATCGTGTTGAAAATTTGAGTAGTCTACATTTATCGGAGTTTAAGACGGGGAAAATCCACTGGAATTATTTATTTTGTCACTGACAAAGCAACTAGTTCTATAATATGTTAATATATTTTTTTTTATTAAATTTCCAAATGCATTTTGTCATGTTAAGTTAAATATAACCTTCTGATTTTAAATAAGTATTAATTAATAAATATTTTTTTCGACTGGAAATAATAAACAATATCACACGGTCGTGGGTTATTATCAAAAAACAAATTCAAGAAAATACCGGAATTATTTTTATTTTCACTTAAAGCCTTTAAGGTAATCGATTTCGCAACATTATATATATTGTGCAATATCAGAACTAAAACTGGTCGTGCCGCCAATCAAAAAATATATTGATGGCCGTCAGGGGTAGCCAACGTGTTTGAGTCATGTCAGTTGCCACAGTTTGGCTAAATTCAAAATATACACTTGAAAAAAAAATCAAAAACAAAACGTTAATAATTATTATTAATCATATTATTTTCCTCCCGATTTTTCAAAATAAATATTTTCAAAAATAAATTCATATATTTTTAACAGGTATATTCTGGCAATAAAATGTGTTTTAACGATTAACGTAATATAATAATTATAAATGTAACAGATAGACCTGAAGAAAAAAAAAAAAAGATGCTATCATAATGTTGGACAACATTTTTTAACACTTTATGAGTATAGTAAATAATTTAAGAAATATACTCATATCAGCAAATTTTCTAAAATAATATTTTGAAAAAAGTTATTAAGTTCCAAATGAATTTAATCAATCAAAAAAAATATTGATATTTTGAAAAATTCTGAAAAATAAACTACTCGACTTAGATAAATGATTTTACCAACAAAATTGTCCTTATAATCAGATTCACAAATTGGCCATTTTGAACTTATCCAAAAAAAAATGTAGTTAAATTTAAAAATGTTTATGTTCAGTACTAAAAAATGAAAATAATTTTTTTATATTATACATGTAGCGCAAGTGACTATAAATTATATATAAAAAAAATTCAAAATATTGATCATAACAAAAGTTATTGCATTAGCCAGTTCTTTCTGTTACGCGCTGTGTATATTATAATCTGACGTGTCCTCAGGCTGACCGACTGATCAACGGAGAGCCTAAACTGTGGCAGCTAGAGAAATGAAATGTTCGTGGTACCTTTGCACTCCCGTGTAAAGGTGCACTCAGAGAGGATTTTCTAAAAATCGCATTCTAACGAGGCGCTCTCATAAGATTTTGAGATTCGCGGTAGAAATGAAAAGTGACATTTTTGTTCATAAATGGCAGCCGTTGGTTACATATTACACTACCTACTATTGAAATAAGTAGGACTCCTTATGGCTTACATATTTTCTTACAAATATATTTATAAGAAAAACAGAATTATTTGGCAAGGGCAACGCCGCCGGGTAGGCAGCTAGTAGTTTATAAGCCAAGACGTTACAATATTTGGTTTACCATAATGTTACGACGTCGGTATTTTGGCTCTTACTCGCATGGTAATCGGTCTCATCTCAGGTACCTATAATAGAAGTCTTTGCTCCTCCAGAGTATCTGTGACCAGTCGCTCGTTTATTTATTTTTTTACTACGGCGGGGGGAAATGGCCTACAGTTTCTATTGCTATTCTCGACGAATAAACCGGACTCACTCGTCCACTCGCCACATCCGTATGCTGTCTTAGAATAATGTGTCGATAACATATTGTGCAGTTCGAGTACTGTGCATACTCACTGCTCGCATGTCGTGGGTATATAAGCAAGTCACCCATCCGCTGTAATAAAAAATTGTGCGAATACCTGCAACGCGCAACTGCAAGGGGACTGACCGGTGCATTGGCAAAACCAGAAAATACTACGTTGCAGCGAGAAACGCATTCGTGCACAAGCCGATGGCCTGCCGCAATATTTGCATCATACAGTGCGTTTCGGTCGTCTTGATTTCGGTCTGAAATTATGTGTACCATACATTTCGTTGTAATGCACTTATTCGTGCACATTGTTTTGGGAGTTGCCTAGAACCTAGTAAAATCTTGAAAGGATAATTTAATTTATTTTTTTACTATTTTTCTATTATCGATATTATGACGTTATATACGTAATAAAATCAAATAATAAAAGGTAGGTAAATGTTTTCATTCACGTCGATTGAACGCCTAGTAAAATAAAATTAAAACAATTAACGTGGATTAAACAATACAAATTAAATTCCCACTTTTAGATATTTGTATGAAAAAAAATAAGACACAATGATTTAAAATTAAAAACGTAAAACTTGTATAAGACAAAAATACCTTGACTTATTAGTAAATAATAATGAATTCAAATCATATACAATTTTAAATTTAAAAAAAAATTGTTTTTGACTCATTGATTTTTACTGCACTCTTTAAAATTTAAACTGTGATGAATTAATTAAAAAAAGCTAGTTTTGTGCCAAAGTATTTTAGTTTTATGTTTTGAACATTAAGTCATACAACATAACAACTATATTTTTTACGGTTTATTCATGTAAACTTCTGGAAAATCCATACAAATTTTAATAATCTGATACATGCATTTGTATTTTGTAAATTTTGTTTTGTATCTAGTGGTTCTCATCTTTTACTTACTACTTACATTTTAAAAAGAATAGTTTATATGACATATTTTTTATCTAGATATTTTAGTTATGGTGATGCTATTATTTATTTAAGATGACAACATTTTGAGGCATGTCAATAACGTTTTTAAATTTACCTAGATACCTAATATAAAAGATTATAATTGATTAAAATATATTTGCCTAGATAATTCATCTAGATTAATTTATCTTATTATGCTCAACACTGAGCACAATCGTATTAAGATGGTATTTCGGTTAAATATAGTTGTTGTCAAACTATAAGAATTGTATTTAGTTTTGAAAAGGCGGAGATAAGTTTTTCGCTACTCGCGTCTCACTCGATCATCCAGATTTTTTTCTACCGTTTCGACAGACGTCTGTAGTTAGATATTTTACATTCAGTACCCAATCGACACTCCAGCCTTTAGAATAATATTACACGATGCTCTATGAGGCCGTTCATTTTATCGATATGATCGTTGAAAAAATAAAACAAGTTGGCAGTGAAAAACGTACCTATCACATTACTAAATGTAAATAGTAAAATAAATAAACATTTATAACTACAACGCACCGTGTGCGTAATAGCTGGTTGCATACTCTGGGCGCCGCGGAAAATAATATGTACCTAATAATATTAGTAATTATTGTCCCGAATATTTTGAGACGATTTAGCGGTCGAATTCAGGCGTATGCGCATAGGACCATATTTTGTTTGTTTGTCGCCGTGAATTTTTCGCGAATGGGTTTAGCCCGATGTCGAGAGATTTCGATTAATACTCTTTTTATTAGTGCTATCTGCCTTATCGGAATAAAAATAAAAAAATCCTCAATACCACGGTCCGTACAAAGATTTATTGTTTCAAAAGTGTCGGCTGGATAGCGGTATTCCTACTCGCCAATTTAAATATCTGTAAATCTTTGCTAAAATCCGGTATAATAATACGTCCCCGTGTAAGTCGACTGTTTGGATTCAACAAAGATTTCTCATTTATATAACATAGGGCTTATATGTATATTATATTATATAGTGCAGGTAAATGTTTATAGATGCATTGTTCAAAAGTAATTAATATTTTTGTGTACTTAAGTGGGCTTACAGAGTACACGCACAACGTGATATTACAGACTGCACCCACTTTATGAGCGTAATTCTCCCTCCCCTCGTCTGGGGATCCCTTGCAGTGTGCTGTTAAATATTGTTGTTCGTATTCACGTTTTAAACGTATTATCTTCATTAAATAATCGGATCAGAAATCGATGCTTCGAAAGAAACTTTCGAAAGAAACTCCCACTTGGACCAGGCGTCTCAGGGTTCATATAGCGTCGCTACGATAGTGAACTTGAACCAAGTAATATACTGTTACTGGTCAGTATAGTTAATATTAGTTAATATATATAAGATTATAATACTTATTACTTACAATATAATCTATGCTTTATTTATGCGTCGATAGGTATCTACGTCTAATTTATGTGTAATTCGAAACGTTATAGGTACAATCGACGTGTCCGCGTGTGAAAATTAAATAGTGAAACCATCGGTAAATTATAATTTTATAATTTTATGCATACAATTTAAATGCATTTTTTTTAAACAGATAGCATCCACATCAATATTTATCATCTGTATTATCAGGTTCAAAATGAATATCATACTCATTATATAATGAGTATTTAAATATTTAATTATTTTTTTTATTTTTGAACTGTAGCCTATAAATATTTTAAACGATATTGACATAGATAATATAATGTCAGTCTATAGATGAAAGCTGAAAGTTATAAAAACAATTTATTGTATTTTGATGTTTAAATTTCGCCTGTGTGATTCATCATAATTAATATTAACCTTAAGAGTTATTATTGTACAAAAAGCTATTGGTAACTGAAATAATGATATAATATCCACATCACATTTTATCGATTTCACTATAGTTTATTTAAACACACAAACGTTACACATGGAAATTGAACATTATGGTAAAGTTGAATAATTACATTCAAAATACAATTATTGTCGGTGTTNATATTACAGACTGCACCCACTTTATGAGCGTAATTCTCCCTCCCCTCGTCTGGGGATCCCTTGCAGTGTGCTGTTAAATATTGTTGTTCGTATTCTGCGATAGTGAACTTGAACCAAGTAATATACTGTTACTGGTCAGTATTAGTTAACAAATTTTTTACATATTGTAACTTTTAATTCAATCAATGGTGTGTATACTAGTTTTTTGGATTTTGTTCATCTGTTTCTATGGCTATAAAAGAATTGTTTATTTTTTTCTCTTTTTCTTGCGCATCTTTATACCAACAACTTTCTAATGGATGAAAACGAACTTTGTTTAATTTTTCTTTACAAATTGTACATGGTGTTTTTAATTTAAATCCTTGTTCATTTACTTTTTTAGGTATATCTGGTTTTTTTTTATTTGTTAGGTGTTCTAACTTACCCAATTCATTATATAGATCCTCTGTTTCAATTAAAGTGTTTCTATCAATTTTATCGGTTACATAGTTGGGTAGACCTACTGCAATTAAATCAATCAGTGTACTCACATCAATACTTTTCCTTGTTTCTAACATCAACTTTTCTTTTCTTAATGCGTATTCTATTAGTGATCCTGTTTGATATTTAAAATTAATTGCATACCTGATTGGATTCCATCCTTTATTAGCAAAAGTGTCACAGAATCTTTTTTTCCAGTCCAACCATTGTGAGTTAATAGTTAGTTTTATTAAGACACATTCATACCAATCTATACATGATTTTTCTAGGAAAAGCTTCAATAATTTAATTTTTTTCTCATCTTGTGTCACATTGAATCTGTTGCATTCATCTTCAAATTCATTCAACCATTGACTAGCGTTTTGTGTTTTATTGTTAAACTTATTTATAGTTAACTCTTTTGCAATTTTTTCAATAGGTTTTTCATCTGACTTTCGATTACTTTCAATTAATTTTTCTACTAATTTTTCCAATGTCGTTGTTTGTGCAGACTCATTCGTAGTATTATTATCTATTGTTAATTCTTCTAAGTAATAATCTCTGAATTGTAAATTTTCCTCTTCATCGAGGTAGACTTCTCTAATTTTATCAGTAACCGTCATCCAGATTTTCCTAAATTGATTTCTTTTTGTTATACTTTTTTTCACTTTTGAAAATATTTCATTGTTTGATATCACTGTATGTAATGATGCCTGTTGTAATTCATCAGGCAAAATAAACTTCCTCTCATCTGGAGTTTCAATTGAGGTTATGCAGAGTATATTTGTTTTTCCATCTGTACTACCTCTCATTTTAAATTCAAACTTCAATTTTTCCATTGTTTCTTTTTCTCTTTAAACGAGAATGTTGTTTTATAATAATATATTTTAATTATTGTCACTCTGGGGCAAGATTAGTATAATAAACTGAAACGTTTCTCCTGTAAAAGTGAGTTTATTATATTATAATGATATTTACAACTTATTTACTAGATAATTTACAAACCTGTAAAAGTGAGAAACAACATTCAATGTTTATTGATCCCAATCTTGTCTCTCACAAAGTCACAAGTTACAAAATATATATTAACAAATTAATTTAACAATTATAACAAATTACTCTAAACATAATAATTAATTTATCCTATCACATATTCACATGGTATTGTATCTTATCAAATCATTCAAAATAATTGATATAATATGATATCACATAATATGTCTTATCAGCCTACCTTATCAACTAACGCGAATTCAAATACCTAAGAAGTATACTTCTTATATATATATAAGATTATAATACTTATTACTTACAATATAATCTATGCTTTATTTATGCGTCGATAGGTATCTACGTCTAATTTATGTGTAATTCGAAACGTTATAGGTACAATCGACGTGTCCGCGTGTGAAAATTAAATAGTGAAACCATCGGTAAATTATAATTTTATAATTTTATGCATACAATTTAAATGCATTTTTTTTAAACAGATAGCATCCACATCAATATTTATCATCTGTATTATCAGGTTCAAAATGAATATCATACTCATTATATAATGAGTATTTAAATATTTAATTATTTTTTTTATTTTTGAACTGTAGCCTATAAATATTTTAAACGATATTGACATAGATAATATAATGTCAGTCTATAGATGAAAGCTGAAAGTTATAAAAACAATTTATTGTATTTTGATGTTTAAATTTCGCCTGTGTGATTCATCATAATTAATATTAACCTTAAGTGTTATTATTGTACAAAAAGCTATTGGTAACTGAAATAATGATATAATATCCACATCACATTTTATCGATTTCACTATAGTTTATTTAAACACACAAACGTTACACATGGAAATTGAACATTATGGTAAAGTTGAATAATTACATTCAAAATACAATTATTGTCGGTGTTAGATTCATGATCCAACAAATAGATAAGATGACATCTGGACTAAAAAAAATCTACATAGTACATACCTGTATACCTAATAGTATATTATATAATTATTTACTAAGTATATGAAAAATTTCAGTCGGTGGCCGCTACTAGTAATTTTATTACACAAGATGAGGCAATAATTTCTGTTATGTCTATGAGATCTAATATTGTGACGGTCAAAAATGAAATATTTTGATTTATCATACCCAGTCATTGTCATGAATCACGATTGCTTGTAGGTACGGATGTAAAGTAAATGATCTAATAGCAAATAAAAATAACTACGTATTTCTATGTCAAATTAAAATGATGATGATTTTTTTTCTATTAAACATCAATAAGAAACGATCATTTCTAAAAATACCTATATTATGTTACCCACCAGTTTGTATAATAATTATATTTTTACAGGATCAAAATGGATATTCTGGGTGATCTTCAATACTGTAAAAAAAAACACAAAATATTTTGAACGTTTAAGAATGTAAATGTAACTTAATTATAAATTAATGGTAATATTATATTGGCTTATAATTTTGTGTCATTATGTTAAACCCAAAGACCAGTAATCAGACACCAGTAAGAACTGAAAACTTATTTCTTAAAATATCGATTCGTATTTCGATTTTTGTACTAAAATATGTAATGTGTGTTTGAGTAAATAAGTTTCGGTTCCTGTTCTAATACTAATACTAGTTCTTTTCGGGTTTGTTACAATCTCTGGTTTATACTATATGATTTTGGCGAGTCTAAAACTGCAATGACATACGTTAAAAAAAATATTCATTTAACTTAATAAAACGCGTATTCTGTTGATTTGAAATCAATCTGACTTCACATCACTAACATTTCGGCTTACAATTAATAAATAAAACAAAAAAAAGTGACTTACTTTTTAATCATTGTAAATCGCACTATACGACCTCCTTCTCCGTTGTCCTGGCTGCGTAGAGCGTCCATGTCTGCCGAATTCAATTTGAAATCGAAAATCTTTCGGGTAAAACGTGAAAACCGTTAATGTTATGATACGGTATGCCATGATTCCAATAAAGCATTATATCATCGAATTCAATGAATACTAACAAAAGAAAACAATAATATGCATACTTGAAAGTTTTCCACTATTCGTTTTGGGGTCGTGCTCTTGGGTATGACGGACATTCCCTTCTGATTGATGAACCTCAACAACACCTGGGCCGGAGTCTTACCATACTTTTTTGCAATCTTCACCAACACTTCGTTCTCCAACATTTCTGGTAACTGTTTATTGCTGTTTAAAAACACACACACACCCACAAACACATAATTAGCTATATTAAACATATTGTATTCAAAGTCGGGGTTTATCTCATTACTTCCAAGATAACGTCGCTAATTCTCTAAATGATTTCATGCCCAGACTAGAGTACGAGATCAAGACGATATCATTAAGTCTGCAAAATTCCACCACTTCGGGAGATTGCAAATACAAATGATTTTCGTTCTGGAGACTTTCGGGTCTAATTTTGCAATTGTCTAATATCTTTTGTGTTTGTTTGATGTTGAAGTTCGACAAGCCGATCGATTTCGCTCGGCCATTGACCACTTGTTCCTCCATTTTCTAAAATAGTTTATGTGTTTTATTAATTCTGGAAAATAACTGTTGAGGCGAATATTCATAATATTGTTATATTTTGTTGTTAGTAATATAGAGACTTAAATAAGTTATAATATCTCGAGTTGGTTATGGTTACACAATTTGGTTTGGCAATCAAATCCATCATGGTTTAGATAAAAACGTTTAAGTAACCTACCTTCCAAATTTTTAGGTGATCCGTACTTTTATCTAATTCCATTTCACTGTACTCAGATTTTCCATTTTTAAATAGACCGATTGAAAGGTGTATCAGGTACATATCAATATAATCTAGCTGTAAATCTTGTAGTGATTGCTTAATATATTTATCTACATCTTCAGGCCGATTTCCATAGCTCGGGAGCTGCGTAACAATACATACTCACATTGTAATTTTTTAATTTTTATGTTTAACATAATTTTGAAACTACTTTAGTTATGACGAACAATTCTTCTCTAGTCGCTTTACCAGCTGATATCCATTCGTTCAAAACCTTTCCGATGACTGATTCATTGTTGTAACCGACGGCTGTGTCGAAGCACCTATAGCCAGTTTCTAGTGCTATATTTAAAGACTTCTCTAGTTCAACGCCTGTAGCCTAAGACAACAATTAATAGTGATAATTTAATGAAGTGAATATTAAGTTATTCATAAAATGTTTAAATATATTTATAAATTGAAATCGTTCACATGTCAGAGTCAAAACAAGATGAATTAATTTAATAAAATACAGTTAGAATAAATGATTATTTATAATTTATTTTATTTAATTTGAAGCATACCTAGGATTTAAATTTCATTTTATTTTGAAAAAACCAGGGGGAGTAGCTTTGATAGATATAATATCAGAGTACAAGACTCCAATAAAGTTATTATATCTCTGTAATCAAAAACCTTATTCATAATATATCTATTTAACTGCATCATATTATATTTTTATTTAAATAAAACTTATGATAAGTTTTAAATTATTAATTTATTGATCACGTCTCATAATCGCACTGAGGGTGTTTGATGGGCCGATAAAAATGTGCGGCCCGTGGTGGTAATTAGTAATTATTAACAAATCTATAAGTTGTAATATTGTAATATTATTGAGTGAAATTGTGTAATAATAGTAATGTTTAATGATGACTTATATATATTGTATAAATAACTACAAATATACATTTAAAAGGTCGGCCTTGTGTAACGTGGCTTTTTTAAAACTTTTTTAACAGATTTTTAATTTGAACATTTCATTCAAGTTTCTGAGCCACTTTAAACTTAGTCTCCTTGTTTGATTGTTTTTGATAAAATGGCGTAGGCAATAATATTAGGAAATCGGAGGATTTAAATTAAATAGTAGTTTTTAAAAGACTTAAAAACAAAAATCGAACAATAGAAACATAGAAATTACAAATTAAAACTCTAAAATTTTTAGTGAGATAAAATTATATGAAGGACACGGTTCTCGCGGGTATGAGGATCGCCGCCTAGGAAAAAGATAGAACGAGTCCTTAAATAATACTTATACACTAATATTATAACATTATTTACTTATTTGATCATTAATATTAGTTTAAATGGACTTACCAGAAATGTTCCAAAACCTACAGCCGGCATTTTACCACCTGATTGTAATTTATAAAATTCCATTTTGAGAGAATTTAAGGTAATGCACAATATGAAACGATATTGACACTGACGTGCACAGACATTAGATGCTTTTATTTATAGTGAACGGCTCAATATTATTTAAAGTGGATGGCTATGTAACTTCTTCACATGGTTTGCGAAATTGTGTTCATTGAATAGAAAACGTACTATTTATAAGCTGGTGGGATAATATTGCCAAAGTCGTTGAAAAATTTACTAACTACAGGTATATGATTATATACACGAATCGGTTTCACACAAAACTAAACGGTCATTTAAACTAATAATTGTTGGAAACAGTTGTATTGAACGAAATTTATATAATTGTGCTTCCACAATTTTTAATTTCTATTAAAATGATTAATGCTAAAAACTTCTCACGTCATGTTGCACGTATGGTCGTAAGTGTACAATAAATAATGTTTTTATTTTTAAATGTACTTATATTAAGTAGTTTAGGAAACAAATTTATTTTTCAGTTAATTTTTTTTTAAATTCTAGGACCGAATTTGTTTTTTTAATTCCAGTAATAAACACTTGTATGAAGACGCTTATATTACAGTTTTAAATCTTATGTATAAATATTAAAAAAATAATTTAACCTATGAATTTTTTATATTTTTAATAGGTATACGAAACACGTGTAGAGAAACTTTTGGATTTAATTTTTAAAGTATTTGATCGTAAACATTTTTTATCGACATTTATAGGGGAAAACTGAAAGAAAAAAATGAAAAATATCAAATGTCTGTATGGAGCTCAAAACATTCAAAATTATTTGAAAACTGTATTGTGGATAGAAAATCTTAATATGTACCCATTTTAGTAAAAATTCAAATATATTCTGTTATTCCCTTTTGAGTTACAATAAAAGCACTTTTTGATTTTGTCAAACACTGGTTTTACGTTTAAATTAACTTGAAGTATACTAAAATTTTTATTCATTTTTCTCGATTATTTTGAAAAAACTGGGAATCTTTACTTTCGAGCTTCCAAAGTAGGTACCTACCAGATCCAACTACAGCAAAAAAAAAAAAAAAAACACAAATCAATTTATGTTGAATATCTAGTTCTGCTCAGTATCTAAAATGTAAGATGATTAGATGAATACATTCTAAAGGTAATATCAAAATGTCTTACTGTAAAAATAAAAACTGTCGTTCAAAAATCAACTAACATTTTAGGTATTATATTCGGTACTAACTACTTACCATTATAGGTTAATATATGTAGTGTATTCTGCCAATACATTATGAATATTATGTCAGTGTCAATGTATAAAGAAAGTAAATAAATGATCTACAAATCATTAATAAACTGTAACAAATATTACTACACTATACTATAAAATATAGGTTAAATATTGACATAGATATTAATGATATTATTATACGTTTGTATACGTTATAAGTTTGTTACCTAAAATACTAAAATCTCAACTCTACACAATGAGTATTTATATTTTTTGTGTGGGTACTTATGATTTTACAATAAAATCGATTTAAAAACATTATACTAGAATAGTGACACCTTTTTGAAAAAAAGTGAATTTTAGTAACTTTTAGTTTGTTTAGTAATATCATTAGACAAGACAAATTAAAATGTTTAGATCAACATTTATCGTTTAAGTAATTTTGGCATATTACTTTTTGCTTTATATTTTGTGAATGAGGAAATATTTTGAAACGTATAGTTGTGAAATGTAGACGAATGATCACAGATCGGATTAAGTCCGATCGAATTTTATTTGACAATGTATTACCATTTTCGTTACGTGAACGATAAAATACTATTATATTTACAAGTAAACGTGACGCAATGATGCTAATGTGCCGTCGCAGTATGGCTACGGGCATATTATTATCATCTGTCCGTTGTCGTTTTCATACCGGAATAACATTATCTGAAACAAAATTATTCAAAACCGTCTACATCGCGTACACATTATTTTTATTATTATGATATCATGAACACAATATGACTAATCGGACTCGCGCAATCGGTCGTGTTCAGTGCCGGCCACGTCAAAACCACTGCTGAGCAACCATGAAGTTTTCGAAAATCGTGCATTACGCCAAAGTATTCTGATTTTTTATTTTATCATTATTACTCTGTCGATTATTGTCGCCATACATTACACTGTCTCCCCCCCCCCCATTCACCACCCCATCGTCGGTATACGATACTGTTTCGGTATATTTGAAAATATATAATATAAAAAAAAAAAAAAAAACAGAAACAGCACATATAATAATTATAAATTTAACATCCGTCCGTTTTTGGTCTATGCGCACAGATGATCGTTCACAGACACCGACGGATGCTGGTTTTCGGTAGCTTAGCTGTCGTGTTGGCACTGATTGTGACGGCCAAGCACGAGAACAACGTTCGGTTCATCAGCAGCGACATGGAAAACGCCAAGCCAACAGACGTCTGGGAATACGTGTCGGACTTCTCCAACGTGATGAAGCTAAATCCAACCATGTGAGTGTACGATAATATTATTTCAATGGTCCGCCTAAATGTATTATAATTATTTGTGTTGTCATAAATTGTTCGAACCGGGAAATCGGTGGAAATAATGGCCGGTTATCGTGATATTTTAAGACGACAAACAGAGCCGTATTCTATGAAATTGTGTTTTCAAAGTATTCCGCACTCAACCTAACCTAACCTGTTGCCCAGACGTTGTCAGAGCACTACGATATTATGTATTAATATCGTACAATGGAATTCGTATAAAATACCGTAGGGGGGGGGGGAGGTTTGAAACGTGTTGCGAAACGCTTCAGTCACATTATTGGTACGCGCAAACGACGGACATAAAGAGAAAATAAATACACTACCCATAGGACTGTTGATGTTTTGATTTTTAATACTCACAAATCGTTTGCATACGACTATTGTCTGTATTAACTTATCTCTGAATATGAAAATTCGCAAGTCTGTCGAATTCGGTAGTGTACCATTTCTCTAATAAATAACCTAACGTACTGAAATATTTTATAACGACGCCCTACAGTTTTATCCGCTTACAAACTCGGGTGCTAATTATATGCATAGCTCGCATTTTTATTCAGCGTGATAAGAAGTAGGTTATCAATAATATTATATAATATGAGGTTTATTGAAACATCAATGATGTTAGGTATAGTTTCTGAGACAACTATTTATGTAGAAACTTTTCGCTCTTGCGCGGATACGTACCGACCAACATTTTCCGACATCGTCGTAGCCTCCGCATATAAAGTCCACGAAATGTGTCTTCTAGAATTATTTAAATGTATAGAAGTACTTTAAATATTATAAGAGTATAAAAAAAAAATTAACAAAGGTGATCCTAAAGTTTATGGTTGCGTTTAATAAATGTCTACGAGCGGTTATTGAGAAATGAGTACGAATTAAAATTGGAGTACAATATTGTTGGCATGCCTGTTATACATGTATACAGTTGTGTGTATTTTTATAAGCACAAACAAATTGACAAGGGTTATTATGAAGTATAAAATGCCACTTTTTTTTTTCGTTAATGAACCCCTAAAAAAAGTTTCAGAATTATAAATTGTCGGTCATTTATTTTTTCCCCCTAAAGTCTATAGCGTTATACACATCAAATGAACGATAAGTATCTTTTATGTTTGCGATTTTAGCCAAATAGGTTTTAACTCAAATTGGGCCCTTCGAGTGTGTCATAAAAGTTTAAATTAAACTTGCTACTGTTCTACCTTTATTTTTCATAAATAATTTCATATACACAACGGTGCGCGTAGTCTATATAATAATTGTGCCCTATGCGTTTTGGAAATAAAAAATATAAAAAAAATGTACTTAAATATGTTTTCATTATTAATGGTTGACTGTGCTAAAAGACTTTTCGTAACTCCATCGCAGTTTAGCAAAAATTGTACTCGATGCGGCGCCCTAATAGGCCATTTATCATTTGTTTACATAATCATATTACCAAAAAACGTTTGGAGAATAATATTCTACGCCACCGCCTGTTATATGCTTTATGTTTCTCCTTTCCCCCCCCCCCCTCTGCATTCGTGACAAATTTTAGTCGAGTGTTATTTGTGGGACAGTGTTAATTTTGTATACGTTTCAACAGCCACGAGCACTTTGTGTACAACATATTAAATGTGGGATCAAACACTTCTGGCTGGCAAAACAGTTTATCACGCGTTAAATATTTATTTTAATAACGCCACAATAACAATAACTGTAGTATAATAGGTGCATAGTACGTCATTATGTCATGGTGGATACCTGCGGGTACGTATATTATATATATGTGTGTGCAAGTACATTACGCGGGGATATAAAAAAATATCGATGCAGTCGGATGTTTTTTTTCAAATAATATATATATATCACTGTATAGAGTAATTGAATTTTATTTCCCCCGACTCGTGGTGGCGGCGGAGTATCGTGGAATACATACGCCCAAGTATCTATCCTAAAAATGATAACAATATAATATATTATTATTTTTCGTCTAACGGGGTGTAATTCTCCGAGGTAACTCTTGAAAAATTCTATTACCGAAATTGAGATTTGCCCCCGCCAACTACACACACACACACACACACACACACACACACACACACACACACACACACACACACACACGCCATACATATTACATTTGTAACGCATCGGTATCGGAAAGGTACGCGGAAAATGGGTACATTGTAATAATATATATATACAGGGTGCGGCAGAGCCGACTGACGAGTTTCGAAGGGTTATAAAAAATGAACAGTAAAACTTAGAGAAAAAAACTTTTTTTTATTAAAATAAGTATTGAATCCCATTTTTAAAAATTATTGTTGGAAAATCATATCTCGAAGACGGCGGCCGTCAGCATCAATACACTGTTGTAGACGATCTCTGAAGCTCTCATATGATTTTCGGCACGTTTCGACTGGTATGGCTTCGATTTCCTCGGTGATTTTTCCCTCTGGGGCTACCTTAAGGATAATGTTTTCAGACATCGCTCACATACCATAAAAGACCTTAAACAGAAAATCACCCAGGAAATCGAAGCCATACCAGTCGAAACGTGCTGAAAATCATATGAGAGCTTCAGAGATCGTCTACAACAGTGTATTGATGCTGACGGCCGCCGTCTTCGAGATATGATTTTCCAACAATAATTTTTAAAAATGGGATTCAATACTTATTTTAATAAAAAAAAGTTTTTTTCTCTAAGTTTTACTGTTCATTTTTTATAACCCTTCGAAACTCGTCAGTCGGCTCTGCCGCACCCTGTATATTTCGTATATGAAAGCCTCCCCAGCGAAACGTGCTTTCTAGATAAAAATGGCGCGTGAACGCGGCAATCTAATGATTCATAGTTTGCGCTTTATCTGTTATTGTTGTTAAATCGCCGGTATAAACAATAAAGCTGCAATGCAGTTTGTACCTGCGTGTGCTTTAATACTCTCTCATTCGCACTTGTAATATTCACGTCGAAGTGCACGTAGACACAATGGACAGTGGACAATTATGGCCGTATCGTGATGAATTTATGTTGTGGTGGGGAGGGGACTAGGGGAGCTATAGTCTATATAACGTTTCGGGTACACAACATGATATTATGACATATTCTTGTATAGCTAAATGAAACTAAAAATAATTTACGGGGGGAAGCTCTTTTGACCCCCCTTCCGATTATACCTTTGCAATGGACACAGTATTATGCTCAACGAATATTTTTGTTCATTAAAAAATATACTTATTTTACTTCATTACGAAGTAGGTGTCGCGTAAGTCGGAAATTAATGACGAAAATAATTTCAACTTAGAATTTCAGTTTCTTCCAGTTATTAAGACTTAAATAGTTAAATGTCTTAGCAATACACATTGTTTTTCAAACGTCATTAGTAACACGATATTGTAATTATTTAAATAAATACTTAGGTCTAAAATACAGAATGCTAACGAACAATTATACTCGGAACTAGAGCTTAACTACAAAATTAAAAAAGCTGTTTTTATGTCCAAATTACTTGTACGAAAATAAAAAACAAACCAACAAAATATCATATTATTGTGACTTTAGCCACAGTGTCAATATCATATAATACTATAATTATTATCGCCACTGCAGTATAGGTTTACTAAAATAATTTTCTGATGATCAAAAGTTGTATGCGCAATTAACGATCATGTACATCTTTATGGACAGTTTATACAATTGATCAAAGGCTGAGAATGTCATTGAATAATTTTCTTAAAAATTAAGCAAGTTAAATGTGACGGGTTTATTACATTTTTAATTGAATTCTGAGAAGTCTTGGTAAAAAAAAAATACTGAAATAAATTAGTTTTTTTTTCTCGTGATCTCCCTCAGCACTAAACTAACTAGTACAATTGACCCTATACTACCCTAATGCATGCGTTATTTTAATATTTCATATTACCTCAAAATTAACTATGGATATCTTTTGATATAACCGTTTGTATTTTACATTGTACCTAACACATTTGGTTTTTAGTTTAGGATTTTGACTTGGTTTTACGTATACGCTTTTTTTTTTTATCCTGAAATCGCCGACCCGGGGGGTGACTTCCGAGACTGCCTTTGCTTTGATTTCCAGTCGGGCGGCCACCTTTATTAACATAAACAACAACAGTTCACAATTTTTTACAAATTAAAATGTATATTTCAAGCGTATGACAGTTTACGTTTTATAGATAGCCTTGCGCGCATGCGCCCTTATTTCTCAAGAGTTACCCCACCGCCTTGGATGTCACGTTCTATGGTCGTCCGTGGTCATTCCTCCACCTTTGCCGCTCCTCCATCTGAAACGACATGTCTCACCATTTTCCGTTTCACACATCAGCTGTTGAGAATGATTGGTACAATCGACTCATTCGACTCCGGCGTATAACTTCCTTGCCCGCCGGTCGCATCTTAAAAACCTACGTCACTACACACGCGCATCACTATTATAAAGATAGAATGGCATTTTGCCATAAAGTTATCGACTTACTAAGTACGAGTCAAGTGTGCCTTTGATCAAAACAACGTATAATTGTAAACTCATAATAGTAACAATAATGCAATAACAACAGACTGAATAAAGTCAGTGGACATGCAGTCGGTCAAAAATATATTTAAATACACAACCATAAGTCCTTTGAGTCTTTAGAAATCTGTGAGTTTTAAAGGCCATGGAGGTTACCAGGGACGTATTGGAGGTACATTTTTACGACTCTTTTGCTTCGTTCCACAGCAGTTTGCGAACGTTCGACCAGATGGCGTTACACTGTTGGACGCAAACGATTTAGCATCGAATCATATCGTAATGGTAAACACTAAACAACAATAACTGTTGACGTTTTAACTTTATTGTGGGAAAATAAAAGGTACAGACCACAGATATATAAACATGTATGTTTATATATCTGTGGTACAGACTCACGTATTAAATTGTTGTTATTTGTATTTTTTTTTTTTCTGAAAACAGATGCGTATTTCTGTGATATTATATAATATCGTTTATTTATTATTATGAGATATTTTTAGAACAATGACGATACCCAATATTTCACAATATCCACAGTCTTTTTTTTCACAATATTTAATACTAAAACTCATCGCGTGTAGATTGCACGTTATTGTATTTTTTTGACAAAAGCAGACGAGTTTTCTGGATTTGCTCTACTCGATCATAATATTATTATTATTATCAACAACCACTTCAAGGCTCACTCCCGGATTTTGGGATTTGCCAGTAACATAGTATTATTATTATTATACGTATAAGGCTCAGAATAGTATTATATTATCATATAAACGTACGGTCAAAATATTTCGAAGTTGATTCGATTACGATGGAATAGAATTAAAATAATAGTACACGCGCTATTGTGTGCACACGGTCAACGGTCTTGTGTGTACAAAACAATACAAGTACGATGCAATTTTAATACGATCATACCATATTTATGTTTGTAATTAGTCGATATGACACAATATTTGGCTTTTCTTTTAGCCGCTGCTTCACAACGTTTTTATTTCTATTGCCGCAAAATATCTTTTTGCGTTTTCAACGTGACATTGCAAATATCAAAATACTCGGCGGTATCATCGATTCACGACGCATTATTTTTGTGGAAAATGCAATAAACTGTTCCAATAATACTATACGATTTACATAATCAAATACACAATTATGACGAATGTTGTTTCGTCGATGACAATTTCGGAGTTATAGTCTCCAACGGTTATTATGTCGTTTCAATAACATCCAATCAGGTAAATGTTACATACATACCGTAATTATATTCCATTGATAATATATAATGTCAATCACACGGTCTCTACTTTCTGTCTCATTTGTATTTAGCATATTGTAATAACATTAAAATGAGCGTTGTGTACGACGTAACTGTATAGAATCAATAGGAGTACAAAGCATTATTGTTAAGAGTGTCACGACTTGTCTTCGACCGACTAAGATCTTGTCTATAAGTCATGCGGTTGGCGTTGGTGGTCTTCAACGGGAAGATAGCATCGACAGCAGTATCGAGGTAAGCACGGAAGTTTTTTTTGCAGATTTTGAAGTGAAGAGATCTCTCGGTTTTATTTACACACTGCCGTGGAAGTTTTTAAATTGATTTGTTATCCATGTTGATAGGTGTAGGTTAATCCCGTATCGTTGCGATGCTGTTTCATACGAGCCCAGGGGATTTTAGTGCTGTTTTCAAGAATTTATTTCGTAGAGTTTATAAGTTTATAATTTCTCTTTGGTTGCGGCCACCGCGACCCCTACTGGGAATGCGTAGGTTGATCTTATTATTGCACTTATATCGCAGTATAGAGTATTTAATCTTCTGCGGGGTTTGAGCTATGATTTAATTAGGGGTGAGGCGCCTATATGATTTCCACCCTTGTGTATGATATGCCTAGACAATAGACACAATTACGTCAAGGTCTAACTGATATTTTATAATAATTTAATTTCATATGAGCAGTTGGGTTTTATAATTCAAGAGAGTGTATAATTATTAATAATTACTCTTAAAACAAAACCCGAATAATATTACATTCCATCCTGTCCATTCAAATTTAACGCTTTCAACAACAGTGTCAGATTATCTTTGTTCACCTACGACGGATATATATATTTTCACAGGAATTCATACAAACATTGAAAAGTTGTATTTGACGTATTCATTTGAATTTGACCTAATTTGATCAAAATAACATTTTTTTATTTATTTATCCTCGGGTTTATGTAGTCTATAATGAAGTGTGTGAATTTAAATTCTTTTTTTTTTTTAATAAATTAAATACAATCAATGAGTTTACATATTGACTATGAGCATTATTATAGTTAAGAAATAATATACTCATCAACAAATATTTAGTGTAATTTTAATTTTTAATATACCAATAACTATTTATTACAAGGATGTAAAGTATAAATTAAATTGAGATGGTTCTTATTATTATTAAGAAACACAACGTCTTCTTAAAGTTTGTCCTATCCTCCACCTATATTGGTTTTTATTTATTTAAAGATGACATGGTCAACAGAATTGAAACTTCCTTTAATACGAAACTAAAATCAATAGAACGTTTTAGAGATGAAATTGTACGGTTTTGAAAGAAAACGATATTGATATTTGTAAAATTAATTTTATTTCTAAGTGGCGTATTATATTTTTCATTTTTTGATATTATTTCTTTTCAATTTCAATTACTTTTTAAACAAACAGATAATAATTGAACAACTTAACACAATATTAAATTAGTTCATGATTTTATTTGCATTTGATATTTTTTTGTTTTTAATACCTACAGTAAAACTTTTATTTATTTTACGACAATGAAAAAAATAAACGTAAATGTATTTATTTTAACGTAAAAACGGTATGATAAATTATTTACTTCTATAATTATTAAAATTAAATCTAAATTAATTTGAAGGTCAATGAAGTATTAAATTAATATTGATTTTTGGTAAATCATATTTAATACTAATATTAAGTGACAATCAACGATTCAACAGAAATGTAATTAAAAAAGCATCAATATCAATCATTATATAACATAACTAAATTAGTTAATTATATACCAACAGAAACGTAGACAAAAGTGCAGGTTTGAAGTTGGCGAATGGCGGTACCATTTAGCTAATAGAATAAATATAATTAAATTTGATTATTTAATGCAGTACATTAATTGTTTCGTTTTCTGCATATGTTTTAAATAAAACACTAATTACTCATATAAATATATTTATATATATATTATTTACATACATTTTTTTAGATACCTAACATATTATAATATTAATGTACATAATAATATGTATAATATAATATTATAAGGAACCAAAAATAGTGTAACCAAATTGCCTATTCATAACGCCGTGCTATAATTTTTTTTATTGTAATTCATTATAATAAACCATAATTTATTATAATAGCGGAAAAATGACCGTGTCGTGCTATAATACTAGGACAAAAAAAAAATTAAAAATTGTAAGGGGTAATGAATGAGTATGTATCTAACTGTGTCAGTTTAAAAAGAAGGAGACAAAGAAGAAGTAGAAAAAGAAACGAATAGAAATCAACCCCAGTATACAATATGTCTGATATTGAAGTATACGAAACGTGGCTAAATACTTCATGTGAAAATGACTTTTGCTGATGGATCGGCGTCGTTTGAAATCGACGTCCGGTACCGCCGAATCTGCAGGTATGTCACGTAGCAATTTAATTGTATAACATACACGAGTTGTCTCAGCGGAGCACTCATATGTATATGAAATTAAATCAAACGTAAATAAAATACAGACAAAAATACTACACCAACGTTTGCGGCAACATCGATTCATAATGTGCTTTGAAATATTGAGCATCTATAGCAAACTCGATCTATGAGCCGACGTCCTCGGAGGCGGCTGCGGATTTGGGCCTCATCACAAAAAAACCAAAATATATTTTAATATTATAATGTACGTATTGTGTGATAATTTTTTTGACTCGTCTTGTCCACAATAGTGTCACGGTTCAGTGCGTCCAACACTAAGTGGAATCGGGCGAAAAAAGGATGGTTCTTAGGTTATAAATTCCAAATTCACATATATACATACTTATTGAAAATTCATATTCTCGTAATATTTTATTCTACAACGTATATTCTACTGGAATATTGTCGGAAATAATTTTGAATTAATTTTTTTTAAATGGCTACATGATTCTTCTTAAACGTCATAATTTAACACTCTTATATAAGTATTTATATTAAATTACCACCTATATTATGTATAATTAATATTGTAGACCCATCAGGGACTGCATCAAATGCAAGGTTAGGTTAGATACCAACTATGGACTGACAAACTGTTCACTGGAAACGTAACAATATATTAGGTCGACTTACTGTACGCAATATATGACAGACATAGAGTGAAAATATACGACTACCGCGATATATTATTGTGCGTACTCACAATCGAGTAAACGTTATTTTTTCACATTTCTCATGTTGTATGTTGTTATTATATAGAACGAAATTCATAATAACGCACGAATCGACGGACTACAAGCAATGGAACTACACGGTCGAGTACGAAGAACGCCTATCTCAAATTCCGTTCGTGATGAGCAAGATTATCGGTGATTTCGTTGTAGACAAATCGCATTCGCAACGCGCCATCAAATCGACTCACCGGACATGTTTCGCCAAGATTTATTGTCGTGAGTATACACACGCACACCCACCGACCCACACACAAATATCCACCCACACACGCACACGCCGAGCTGTAAACCAATAACATTATGTTCAGCGATTATACAACACAATATAACCTCAGAATATCCAAAAAAAAAAGTGTAAAGTATACTGAACACTCGGATAGTATAGCAATAATTTAAAATTATTATTTTAAGTGATTTACATAGATGTTTTTTCATCTATCGAAAATAATAACAATAGTAAAAAACCTAACCCTGACATATGTTTGAAATATTTCAGATAGGTGTCGAACATATTATCTCAACCCCCCAAACAAAATTTTTCTTTTTACTACGCCTTAAAATATTCACACTATAATTATTAGATAATATAAGTAAGTCTAGTGAAAAATATAAAATCGCACATCAAACAAATTAATATTAGTACATATTAAGCGAAATGTTCATCATAAAATACTGTTGTATTTATGTCTTTGTGGTTTTTTGAAAATGGACAGATTGGACCACGCGGTGAGGGCCCTCGGGCGCATAGACTTTATTTGGTTTAATATTGTATGCGCGCGATAGCACGTCGTATTCTATAGAAACACGTCGCCTCCCCCGTAGCCCATTACCCCGCGACCTCATTATCAATTCATTTTACACGTTTGATTTTTTTTTTCCGCCCCTCGAACGCAAGTGCACATATTTTTATATATATTATTTAGACCAAGTTTAATAACGTTATTACACCGTTTGTCGTGGCGTTGGTTAACCTGGAAACCTCGTGTTGCAGTGAACAGCGAATCGGAAATGATATTCGTCGACCTATCCCACGGCGGCACCAGAATCGAGGACAAAATCAAATACGAATGTCCGTGGTTGTTCACCAGCTTCTGCATGAAAGAAGTGATGTTTCAGCGAAGTAAAATATTCACACGGCTCCAGGCCCTGTTCGCGCACACAACACATTAGTATTATTGTATTACTCTAGGTTATTATTGAGTTGGTTTGCTTCCATTCAAAAAATAAATAAAATAAACGATATATATTTATTTATTCATAATCCGTCTTTGCCGTAAGAAGACAGTGCGCAGTTTGTTATCCTACTATCGTTAAATTAATAGCTTCCGAGAAATAAAGATTTGCCTTCCCTCGTCCTCGAACAAGAACAAAAGAACAAAATTTAAATTGTTAATTCTTATTTTCGACTTTTTTTATTTTTATTTTATGTAAGGGATTAATTTTCTTTCGACTAGATCGAAAAAAATAATAATAAAAAAAAAAAACCGAATAATATTATTATCAACGCATTCTTTTAACGGGATTTTACTTGCCGGTCTATGCAAAGAATAAAAATAAAATAAAATATTGTGTTCTGGCGGTAGCTGAATGCAAATGAAAGAGCTCGATTAACATTAACGTTTTCCTTGCAGATTAACATTCCGACTAATACCTCTTCAACATAAACAATATTTTTTTTTTTTGTATAGTCTTGTGATTTGGATTGTATACATATTTTTTTTTTACATTAAAATATAATAATATTTTCAAACCAGCACCAATCCCAGCGAATGACCGTCTACGGCTGAATGTTTATGCTATATTAATGCACAGTGCACACAGGCCGCCTAAAACGTTTCTCATTATTTACGATATCAAATTTTCATATTTAATTCGAATCATTTGAATAATGCAAAGCGCTTTATTATGCTTTTGAACTCGCAATAAACATGTGAAAATAAACACCTGTCTGTAATTTATCAATATTATAAAATCTCGACTTTTATTTCTGCGTGTAAACGTCAAACGAGAAAATTTCCTCGTTCGTTCGTGAATAAAAAATAAAGTAGGTCACCGATAATATTATTATAAAGCATATAATATTATAAACAATTATTATATAGGGTCATTCGTAATATTAATAATGGTTTTATTGTTTTAAGCCAAGAACCGAAAAAAATTTAAAAAACCATTAAGCCCCGTTCGCTGTAATAATTTTGAATGCAACTTTTTAACAGACTCTTTATTTTATTTTCGAAATAAATAAATATTGGTGTAAGTGTTTAATTCAGTACGCATATAAATCATATTTGTTATAATACATAACTTTTCACACAATACAATTGTGTGTCTGCGTTTTATTTACAAAAAAAAAACGTCAATTATATACCAATACTCACATATACATATATACGAATAGTAAATTATATTACATCTATTGAGAAACACGTTTTTTATTTTTAATAATTGTAATAGTACTGATAACGCTCGTCCCCAACCGTGATAATAAACTAATATTTGCTTAACCAAATTATGACATACTATACCGAGAACTGAGTTACCTGCCGATCAGCTGGTATAAGTACTTATCAAAAAAAAAAAAAAAAAATCTATTCGTTGTACCTTATCATGTGTTAGTTTCGTACACTGACAGGACAATAAAACGATAAACAATTATTATTACACTTGTTGGATTAACCGAAACCAGCCGAGAAGTCGGCAGCGGCAACAGGACATCATGTTTGACGCAGGTCATTCCTTAGCGCGGCGGTCCTTTGAGGTCAGTAGGAGATTGTGCTGTTGGTGTGTGGCTCGTACATGGGCTCGAATGACTCTTGTAGACTACTGCGACTCGTCTGTGAGTAGTCAAAAAATCTGTTTACCTTGGTATTCGAATACTTCAGGACACCGACCAAATTACACCATGAAGTGTTATCCCGAATATTTCCAAGAGTTGTTAAGTGCACAGTCATTTTTTTTCCATGCATTGTTATGTAAGACATTACAAAAATGGTGAGTTACAAAACACTTGTTCGTTCAGTTGACACTGGTATATAAAATAAAATAACACATAAGCGGTGATTCCGTAAAAATGTGTTTATAATTGAAATGCAGATCCACAGTTTTGAAAATGCGGCCGCAGTATTAGGTATATCGCATATTTTGAAAAAGTTTAGAATGAAAACAAGATTTACCTAGTGTGCTCTTGGATTTGTGTATTGTCGTTATTTTTTATGCGAAAACCTTACCTATAAAAATTGAACTTAAAAGAGCACATAAATAAAATTGGGAAAATGTAGTATTTTCAATATAGGTACCTATGATTTTTAAATCATTGAAATCCGTCTTCGTTCTGCAAAATCGTTTTTCGTATAAAATGGTTTGAAATCATTGAATTCAAAACTAACACACTTATTACGTTGACCCACCCGACACCTAATGTACAGCAGATCGGTACTCACTTTACCATCTTTTTTAAATTTAAAATGTTTGGAAGAGCCATAAATGCATTGATTTTACAATCATATAATGTGTTTGTTTTTTTGAATATTTAATTTTTAAATTTTTGTATAATATCTCGGAGAATTAAAAAAATTAAGATTTTAAACTTCAATATCTTATCTGGTAGGAAAGTAAATCTGGTTGGCACTGTGTGGGTTTCAAAAGTAAACAATTTCACTTATTTTCTTAATAGTTGAAAAAACAATGGAAAAAGATTAGGGAAAAACCTCGAGAATTAGGGAAAAACTTCATACGCAAAAACAGTTTTTGACAATTCTACTTTCTTATTTAGTTGTAATTTAAAAACGAATAAATGTCGTCACCAAATGTTTATATTAGAATTTTCTATAAATCGTATAGTTTAAAAAAAATATATTTCTCTATTTGAGATTTCTAAAGACATTTTTCGATTTTCTTCTGGTTTTTTTTTCTATAAAGCTATCAAGGAGCTTTAACATTTTATACAAAGTTCCTCATAAGTAGTTCATACTAAAACCGAAAAATTTAAAAAAATAGCTTAACGCAATTTTTTTCATACACACATAAAATCGGACGAAATCAATTTTTAAAATTTAAACAATGAATAAATATTATTGTTAATTTATTGTAAATCAAAAATAATTGTCGAGAGGATTTGAAACTTTGAACGTATATCGTTATATATTACACATACAACGACATTTTCAAATGCGATGTTTACAGTCAATGTTTTTAACTTAAAATGTACTCAACCCATGGAGTTATAGGTAGGTATACTAATTGTCGAATATTTTACTAACAATAAAAAAATGCTTTAATGTGTAACAACATAATAATAATTTAATGCTCAGTAATTTTGGCTCGAAATCGAGGTTACTCAGATGATTTGTCAACGTTCGTGAACTTAGCGGCAATCATGTAACAGATTTCAATTAAACCTATCCAACAATTCTGTTGGACGTTTGTTGGACATTGTTGGAAAGGTTTTACAACTTGTTGGACCGTCATTAAAAAGTTATAAACATTTTTCCAAAACCGCCGCTAAGTTCACACTAACGGCCAACATTAAATCAAACACATAAAAAACTATACAAAATTGTTCTCAACGGTTTGTTGGACGTTGTTGGAAAGGTCCTGCCATTTGTTGGAACTCTGTTTATTTTATACGAATTTTTGAAAAAGTGCCGCTAACTTCACACCATCGGCAAACTTTTTTAAAACTTTTTTGTGAACTTAGCGGCGGTTTTGGAAAAATGTTTATAACTTTTTAATGACGGTCCAACAAATTGTAAAACCTTTCCAACAATGTCCAACAAACGTCCAACAAAATTGTTGGATAGGTTTAATTGAAATCTGTTACATGATTGCCGCTAAGTTCACGAACGTGATTTGTCATTGAGTTCAAACCAAACCCATACATAACAGAATACAGAGATTTACACAATGACGAGGTACGCTCGACGCCTTCGACTGTCTGTACACCAAAGCGGTCACATACTTCTTTTTCTGTGTTTGATTTTTTTTTTTTGTTTTTCCATATTATTGTGAAAGTGCCTATAACTGGAATTTATTACTCTTGACCGCCCAAAGCACCAACTAGATCGAATCTGCTCCCGGAATCCATCACTCTGTGGGGAAGTTTACGGAAACGCATACAATAATAAGCTGACTGCAATGGCGTTTTACGTACGGGGTGGGTAAGTGTTATGTTTTGTAAGTAATATAATAAAGCACGTCAAAAGTCCGTCGTCGCTACGACGTCCGCCAAGAGCGCGGGTCACGGACACGTCGTTATTAAAGTGCCGAAAACTTACCGTCGTACACTAAAATACAATACGATTAGAAACAAACCGTTATTACTCATCGGCGACGAATATTTTTTCAAGTGTTCGCTATTGTAATTTAAATTATTTGCAAGTATAATAGGTCGACTGGGGTCTGGGGGTAGAAATCGTGAGACTATTGTATTGGATACGCGTAGTACCTGTCATGTACCAAATTATTTTTAAATAAAATCCAAACGTATTAGATTTACATTAAAATATTAGTAGGCACCTACATTATTATTAATCATGGATGGAAATATATTTTAAGTTTTAACCGCGTTATTATGACATATATATTATATATATATGATACTGTGTATTAAATAAAAATGATCAATCATCATATTATTGTTACAACTGTTATACGTTACTTTTACTACTATATTGCTTTATGTTACCGATCGATACAACACAATTTTTTTGTTTAGCAAAAAACACCATAAAATAATATGGAATTTATAACGACGGGTTGTACAAAGAGCGTGTCGAGCGAATTTAAATAACACTCGTGTGTGCATGCGCTTCTCCTATTATGATAATATCAAAATTTGGCAGATATAGGAAAGGTCCCGGGGAAAAAAAAACCACCACTTTAAACGGGTTACCTCGCGTGAATAAATAATAAATCGAGTGCAAATGGAATTTAATAAAATGGCCGTGGTAAATTCGCGTTCTCTAACCCAACCTGTCACGCGAACACGCGACGACTACGACGACGACGACGTCGATGGCTCGTCAGTGGTCGCCACGGTGAACCAGACAGACAGACGTCAGACGGCGGCTGTAGCTCAGACTCGGTCTCCGTCTCTGCTCGACCTACACAATATCACGATACCGACGATGCCCACGTCGACGACTCCTCACACCTTGATGATTTTCATTGATTGTCGTTTCCACTTTCGAGTTGTTATTATTTTTCCTCCCCGGTCGTCGTATATTATAATCGCCTCGTCTTGCGTTCAGATAATATTAT